GAAGCACCAACGACGTCTTGTGGGTTTTAGCAGAAAGGCTGGATGGATCGACCCTGGGTAGGCTCATCAAGTTGTATGTTCTACAAGCTGTTGCCAAGAGACGGATTTGATATACCGAGATTTATTTAAACTAGAGGTCCCGCAGTAGTCGAAATTCGACTATAATTAATTGGAATTGTAAGTTTGTACACTATTATGATTGTCTATACTAATATTAAAAAGAGGAAAGATTTGTTTGTTTGTTTGTTTCGAATAGGCTCCGAAACTACTGGACCGATTTGAAAAATTATTTTTCCATTAGAAGCCGACATTGTCCCTGATGAACATAGGCTACTTTTTTTAATTTTGTTTTTTGTTTTGTTTCATGTGTGTTTTAATGTTTCCGAAGCGAAGCGAGGGCGGGTCGCTAGTATTTTATACTTCTATAAGCACAAATTTCGCCAAGGCTACACTATAAAGAAATATTAATAAAGACAAACAATATTTAATCTATTCTCAATTTGACCACAGACGTCAAGAACAAAAGTTTGACAATAAATCACAATAAATAGTATGCATGCGTGTTTGCGTCAAATACATGGTATGCAGTGTATGTAATGTTTTCTTTATTGATTTAATGTATCTTTTATCCAGTCATTTAAAAAAATATTAGCATTGTGCACTTCTTCTCTATATTCTCTATAAGTGTGGAAAATTTCATACTCCTCCGTCCGCGCAATTTACGTAAAAAGGGATACAACGTTTTTGCTTCACGTATTAATATATAGATACTTAAATACTTAAGTTATTTGTAATACGAACTCACTATGAGACTATGATGTCAATAAAAATTTTCTTTTAATTTTTTTTTCAATTATAGTGTTCTTAATGTAACACTTAAATAAACTGCAATAAGGTTCGGTGTTAAACGAATTTTTAATTTGTTAGAATGAATAAAAGACAATTTCCGATCCTCCATGAATCCATTATACGGCGTGGCCGTGACTCATACGAAATATGCTGTGCAAGAATAATTCGAAACGTCATTCGAAATTGCATTGTTCCCTATATAAAATAGGTTACTTTATTACGTAGCTTAGAATAATAGAACTGCGCAGTGATTCTGCGTTTAAATTAGATGCTATTTGCTAAAGTTAAAAATGATCATCATTTTACAGTCTCTATTAATTTGAGTTGGTGTTAGGGTTGTCACCTTTTTTTTGCAGATAAATTACATTGGTATTTTAGTAGGTACGTATTAAAATAAACCACAATTTATTATTTATTATTATTATGTTTAAATACGTATTATATTTAATACAATTAAACACGGTGTTTCCCGAGCGCAATGACATGTCTTTCTTCAAACGAGGCTTGTGGAGAGTATTAAGCGGTATGCAGCGGCTTAGCTCTGCCCCTGGCATTGCTGAAGTCCATGGACGACGGTAACCACTCACCATCAGGTGGGCCGTGTGCTCGTCTGCCTACAAGAGCAATAAAAAAAAACAAATTAAACAAGAAATTGTAAACTTATGAAACTAACATTGTTGACATTTGAGGTTAAGTTGCGTTCAGAAATGTTTGTTAAAAAAACGAGTGTTTAGATGTGGCGTTGGCGAGCGGCGACATCGATTGAGCAATCGATGTATTTCGCTTGACGAAAAAAAACCTTTCACTGAACTGTTCAAAATCCCAAAGAAACCTAAACATGCCAAATAAATTATTTCCGTTTACTTTATTGTTCACATAAAATGTAGAGTACCTACAATAACCTGAAATAACGTAGGTACAATACTTTATTATAAAGTAAGGGTGGCAACCCTAGTTAGGATATCGTCTTTGACGATAGAGCTCGATGTTTGTTTCCTAATCCCAAGTACAATGAGACTTCATGAGCTATTCAAAATATTTTGTTATTTTTCACACTGGTCGCGGGTCGCCTTTTCACTGAGCGGTGTTCTTCTCTTTGCCTATATGTCTTCTTCTGTCAGCTTAGTTCAAGAATGGTATGTTACAAAATTAAATGCTATCCAAATACTATTGAAAATAGACTACACGTCGTCGTGGCCTAAAAGGATAAGACGTCCGGTGTATTCGTATTGAGCAATGCACCGATGTTCGAATCTCAGGCGGGTACCAATTTTTCTAATGAAATACGTACTTTTAACAAATGTTCACGATTGACTTCCACGGTGAAGCACAACAAGGTGTAATAAAAATCAAACCCGCAAAATTATAATTTGCGTAATTACTGGTGGTAGGAGCTCTTGTGAGTCCGTACGGGTGGGTACCACTACCCCGCCTATTTCCGCTGTAAAGCAGTACTGCGTTTCGGTTTGAAGGGTGGGGCAGCCGTTGTAACTATACTGAGACCTTAGAACTTATATCTCAAGGTGGGTGGCGCATTTACGTTGTACATGTCTATGGGCTCCAGTAACCCACCGTCCACCCATCTAAACAATAAACAAAAAGAAACCTTACCCGTCTTTCGATTCTTAGCGACAAATTAAATTAAGTCTCGAATCAGGGACATTTATCCGACCTTCAAAAGACTTAACATTGTGGGAATATAGATGCTAACAGCCTCGCGAACTCTCAAGGTTTCGAGCTCCGCTTTCATTAACTATTGTAAAATAAATTGAACCGAATTACAAGCACGATCGGATTTGATTATTAAGGCTAAAGTTGTTTATATTGCTAATGCTGCAATGAAGCGTGTGTGCCAGAAAACGCAAGAGGACGGAGCACTTGTTTTAAGAAGCGTTGCCTTAAAAGATACACAGGGACTCATTTGCGACTTAAAAGTCATCGCCATCGGAGCAGAGTTCATCTATATCATTTGGAACCGCTGCGATCATCGACAGTGCGTTTCCAGAGGTCTTTTTTGCCACGTACAATCCGGCTATGGAATGAGCTCCCCTCCACGGTGTTTCCCGAGCGCTATTACATGTCTTTCTTTAAAAGAGGCTTGTGGAGAGTATTAAGCTGTAGGTAGTGGCTTGGCTCTGCCCCTGGCATTGCTGAAGTCCATGGGCGACGGTAACCACTCAGCATTAGTTTTTAAGATATTTTAAAAGGCTATACATATATAATCCAGTTCTCACTTATCCAGGTTTGACTGTATATAAGCCTTGATAAAAACTACAGTTTCTATTAGATTTGGAAAGCATGGCATTCGGTTCGGCTCACTTCCATTTCAGTGGGTCGCGTTTCCGATCCGGTGGTAGATTCTGCGAAGCACTGCTCTTGCTGGGGTCAGTGCTAGCATCACTCCGGTTTGAGCCCCGTGAGCTGACCTACTAGCTAAGGTTACGCTGAAATAGCCTCTCAAGGCTATCAGCTTAGGTAGGATACAAAAAAAATCACTTCCATACGCGTTTTTTTTTTATAGCTGCAATCTGTGGCTTGTAGGAAGCGTTTACGTTGGAACCCTCACGCGGCTCACGGGTGACCCTTATGGCCCGGACGGTTCAGTAAGATGAGGCACACCTGTGAGCACCGTGGCCTGAATAAAAATACTCGAGTTTTCATATGGCGTTCAATGTGTTAAACAAAAAATTAGTACTCTCATATAAAATTCGCCGCAATTAAAACTTTTCCAATCCAAAACGACTACGATATGAAGTTAATTCGGCGATCATATTCAATATTTATTGTCTTTTACACGACACACGGTCATGAGAAGGTCGTCTTATGATAATCGTAATTGAGTTAAAAAGAAAAAATAAATCCCATAGAGCGCATTCGTAAATCACACGAGTAGTTTTGATTTTATGTAACAAAGAGCATTACGAGTGTTGTCCTTTTTGTCTGGTCAACATTGTACGTGACTTTTCGTTTTTGTGAATTTAATATAACGTGAATGATGTAACATCATCGAAAAATGAGGCGGAGTGTGGACACGTGTGTTATGTCGGGCTGCTGTTAAGTAATATAGTGTACGTGCTTTTTTTTTTAAACACATCTTGCGTTACGTTATGTTTTACAGTCGTATAATAAAGTAAATGTACAGTTTACGTTGGTGAAAATCTGGTCACGCTATAAATTCGATGTCACATGAAAATATAAAAAAAGCAAAAAAGATTAAGCGTAGTATTATAGGTGGATTCTGAAATCGATGTTATAAAAGTAAACTTTTCCACTGAAATGCTTTTATAAGCTTAAATCCGCTAAAGTACCTACGGCTTATAATGGGCTCAAGTATTCCTCTTAGTCGAAGGTTGGATCTTCGATAGCCCGCTTTGAGCGTTCAGGGTCGAAAGATTCTTCATATCCACTTGAAAATGAATGTTGACAAGCTTAAATAGCGCAATATAATATGCAGGAATCTTTTAGCAAATTTATTAATTGCTTAAATTTTAAATAAATAAAAAAACAATAATTGAAAAAAAAAAAAATTCATTGTGTAATTAAGTTTAATTAAACAAATTTTGTTTTTGAAAAATTTAATACAAATCAAGCGGGCTTACCTCAAGTCAAGGTTAAAGTCGTCATGACCTAACTGATAAGAAGCTATGTCTTCGAATCCAGAGACGCGAGTATGCCGATGATTAAATCCCGCGTTTAAAACAGTTTTTAATTACGATGTTTTTTCATTTAAACAAATTACTTATATGCAAAAAATAATAAAATGTCAAATACAAAATATGAGGAAATCGTCGACATAATTTGAACTTTATTTTATCCGAATTTGACTCGCGTCAGTATGTTAAATCCAAACGAGTCTAAAGGTAGACACTTATGCAATATTGACATAGAATCGATAAAAAAATATATATATACATACTTTTAAATTTGTATAAGTATGTAAACTTGAACCGGTCACCCACTTATACCGGTTCGTAAAAATGTAATCGATATTTTTTTTTAGTTCATTCGATTGTAAACAACTCTGCATCGATCATCGCGATTGCAACATTGGAAAGGCGGATCGTTATGTCATTTTTGTTCTTGTGTAAAGCGTTCGGTGAAAGATTTGTCCCACTCCTAAGTGCAGTCAGCAGTCTTGCATCGCGCACGGACGAGGCTGGTCGTTATCGCGGGCCTTGATTTATGAAAAAAGAAAATACAAAAAGTATTACTTGTGACCTTAATGTGATTGTGAAATTAGGAATTTTACGTTGAGTGCGTCCAATTGCGCGTTCGTTTACGTATGTGTTTTGATATTTATTGTTGGATGTGTCGCGTGATGTGTTATATTTTCGTAGCAGTCTTAGCGTAACGTCCGTGACACGCATAACGCTCTGCGATAGAAAACGTTTTACGTTCGTTTTTTTTTTTTTTTTTTAATTTCTAATTCGATATTTGAAAGAAATCGATTTTGATTGATTAATTAAAAACAGGCACGTGATAATAAAATAATGGCCTATTTGTAAATCGTTGAAGATACAAGTCGTCTAGTCATCAGAAAATTCTTTCGAATTTGTTTCTTTTGAGTAATTCAGCTTTTTTTATTATCGTACATTATACGCATTTTTGTACAAAAAACAAAGACATTTTGCACATTATCGTATGCGTGTATGTAGTTGTTGAAGTTTGTTTGCAATTAACGAATAAACGATGATATATCTACATACATATTTGCCTTTGTTAAACATAGGACATGTAACACGCAATGCGATTAATTAAATGCGCTAAAGTTTTTGTTTCTAGTTTAATTCGAGATTATCGTGAATAATAAATACAGCGAATTTATGTTTATTTCTTTCTAAGTTTTAAATAAAAGTAATTATTTTTACTCTCTTTACTGGTGGTAGGACCTCTTGTGAGTCCGCGCGGGTGGGTACCAACACCCTGCCTATTTCTGCCGTGAAGCAGTAACGCGTTTCGGTTTAAAGGGTGGGGCAGCCGTTGTAAATATACTTGAGACCTTAGAATTTATATCTTAAGGTGGGTGGCGCATTTGCGTGATGTTTATGGACTCCAGTAACCACTTAACACCAGGTGGGCTGTGAGCTTGTCCACCCATCTAAGCAATAAAAAAAAGTCATAAGAACAATTTTAATAGCAGGCAGACCTGTATCAAACCGTAAAATCAAACCTTTATCGTTCAGGTAAATCCTAACAGAGAATCAATATTTCGATCCTGAATGAGGATGGTTTTCTAATCAGGAAATACTATTCGAATTTATGTAACAAATATTTTAATCATAAATTCGGGTAAGGTACACAGAAAACGGCTTTTGTATTACGTAATACTTACAATGACCGACGACTTCAAACACTTATCTATCAAAAGAGATAAGTTGCGAGCTGGCAGCGAATAATAATATCATCGTACTAGCTGTAACCGTCTGCTTCGCTGGGCATTTGAAATTAACATTATTATTTCTCACCCCCACAAAGATTCTCATCATTAACGTTCCCGTAACTGGTGTAGGCAGTCCAACACTCTTAAAAATATTAGCCTATCCATTAAGTGCATGTATTTTCTACATGGATATCAAGTTTCAAGTCAATCGGATGCATGGTTCAGTAGTTATAACGGAAAATCTGTAAAAACCACTGTAGATTTATATATTAGTATCGTATATAAATTTATTTACTAGTGGTCCCGCAGTAGTCGAAATCCGACTATAATTAATTGAAATTATAAGTTTGGGAACATTATTATGGTACTAGTTAAAGACTATTATTTTATTATCTATAATCACAGATTTCGCCAACGCTACTATGAGTTTATTACTATCGACAAATAATAAGTAAAGACAAACAATGTTAATATCAATTTGACCATAGACTTTAAACAATAACAAAAGTTTGACAATAAATCAAGAGTATATAATTATTATGTATTTGTTGTGTCAAATATATGGTAGTGTGTGTAATGTTTTTTTTAAATGGATTAATGTATTTTTTATGCAAAATTTTCTCTTAAGTTTGGGAAATTTCATACTCCTCCGTCTGCGTAATTGCCGTAAAAAGGGGTATAAAGTATTTGCTTCCCGTATTAATATATAAATTTATGAAGTCATTTAGGTATTAGAAAGTATATAGTCGTGGTTGTAGGGTATTGGCGTTTCATTGTTCATTCCGATGTACTGCTTAATTTGCCGTGAAGCAATATTGCGTTTCGATTTTCCAATGCAATTATGACATTGGCGTTCGCTCCTGGCCTTTTCATTTTTCATTATTATTATTATTATTTTTAATTGTATTTTTTGACTTGTTTTTTCCTTTATTGTAAATATTTTTATTTATTTAAAAAAAGGAAATATTTGAGAAAAAACCAAAAAAAAAAGGCCGCTGAGTTTGTTTCGCCGGTTCTTCTCAGGACTGTGGCTTTTTTGGAACCGGTGGTAGACTTAACATTGTTATTTATATTTTGACATTCAACAAGTGTGTCATACTGACATCTAAGTTGAAATAAATGATTTTGAATTTGAATTATAAATAAATAAATATTTACTACCAATCAAGCCACGTTAACTGGTCCCGTGATAAGTTCGTAAAGAACTTGTGTTACAGGTACCAGATAACGGATATAAATGTAATATTTTTATTATACACATACATATATTTAATATACATCCATAACCCTGGAAAAGACATTTATATTTATCATACAAATATCTTCCCTTGGCGGGATTCGAACCCGCGACCCCCTTGTGTAGTGAACACGTAGGGACCATGTCACTTACCACTACACCAGACGGCCGTTAAATTAAATTGAATTTGAATTGAGTTGACCTGTGGATATCGGCGGCGTAATTAAATTGCGATGTCAGATTGATGTACGGCTTAAGTAGAGTGATGCCCACAAACATTTCGAAGCAGGCATTGTTTTGACCGCTCTCGTTGTAACAATAAACACGTTAAGTGACCAGTGAACGCTTTAATTATCATAATAACAGTTAGTTTTGTTTGTTCAAGAATACATCGTATTGCAATGCGCAAAAGGCTTTGTCAATTGTTTGTATTGACAACGGAATTAGAAAGTATTGAACGGGTTTTTCGTTTTGCCGTTTAGTAGATCTAGTTTGTATGCTATGTTTATTATATTTGTGATAAGGTTCAAGTTTGTTGTGTATAGTGTTGTTGATGATTGAACAAGCGCTGCCAAATGAAAAACTTTTTTTTATTGCTTGGATGGGTGGACGAGCTAACAGCCCACCTGGTGTTAAGTGGTTACTGGAGCCCATAGACATCTACAATGTAAATGCGCCACCCACCTTGAGATATAAGTTCTAAGGTATCAGTATAGTTACAACGGCTAGCCCACCCTTCAAACCGAAACGCATTACTGCTTCACGGCAGAAATAGGCGGGGTGGTGGTACCTACCCGTTCGGACTCACAAGAGGTCCTACCACCAGTGAAAATAAGGAGCCCTAGTGTAGGGTGTCAGGCAGCTGCGAATTTAACACCTAAGAAGTTGATCTTCTTAAAAATACCGTAACCATAAAAACACAACACCACTACTCAAACTTCATTAATCAAATGCTTTCAAACTCTAAAGTATACTAATAGACGTTACAGTTTAATGATAAACTTCAACACAACTTCTAGAACAATGAAGAGAGCTGAACGTAGGATCGATAACAAAAACTTTGTGCTAATGAAGTTTCCTATCTTCAAAGTTAATAAATAGCACACTGCTGTAAATATAACTAAGATTATCTTACCAAAACATTTAGATTCTATAAGAATACTTAGGTCCAACTTTTGCTCCGTGACGAATTATTACGATTTCTTGTTCATAGGAAAAACAGTGCGATCTAAATCGAATATACGGAAATCTATTAGAGCATTACGTTTAGTTTTCTCGTTACATTTCTAAGATTTGCCATCTGAAATACCGAAAACACTTCACGCATAGCAATAGCTTATAAAATAATAAACGTAAACACACAATTTAAGTTTCTAAATTATAATTTGGATCAATTAAATCGAGAAAAACATTGATCAGTAGTTAGCGAGATGAGATACCGGCTAGCTGACTGTTTCTACCTAGAAGGATACCATACCTTAGGATACCTACCTCAAGATAGTTCTTATCACTCTTGAGACTTGATTTCATAGCTTCAAATATTGAGCGGCATTCACTAATCTAAGGTCTCCGGTAATCACTTAATTCTAGTTGGATTGTGAGATTGTACACTTGCATATTAATTTAAAAAAAAACAAAGGCAATTTCACAGTTTTATTCTAGCGATTTTGTTTTGTCAAATTCACAATGCGTGACAGTTTCTGTGACAGTTAACAGATTTCGCGGTTGTTCTTTTGGCCGTCAACGCATTAAAAAAATTACCATACCGATAGTAGCGATACAAACGTTAGTGAAGATGAAAACCTTCCTCGAAATGGAAGCGTGGTCGTATAGAACCTTCTGGAATTCAAAAGCGGGTGCAGGTCGTCGCCCTCAATTTTTAAAATATGAAAGTACGCGCATAATATCAACAGTACGATTCAGTGTATAAATATTTACGATGCAATTAAATGTTTTTGTTTCTACTGTTTTACGGCGATTTTGTTTTTGGCTTGAAAAAGCAAGTACGCCATGGCCATGCCATTTAATGACAACACAAGCTAAAGTTTTCATGGTATTTCCGCAGTTTAAGTTAATATTACTAGTGGTCCCGCAGTAGTCGAAATTCGACTATAATTAATTGAAATTGTAAGTTTGTACACTAATAAGATTCCATTTTCAAATACTATTATACTTCTATAATCACAAATTTCGCCAAGACTACACTATAGAAAAATCTTAGTAAAGACAAACAATATTTAATCTATTCTGAATTTTACCACAGACGTCAAAAACAAAAGTTTGACAATAAATAAATAGTATACACGCGTGTGTGCGTCAAATACATGGTAGTGTGTGTAATGTTTTTTTTATTGATTTAATGTATTTTTATGCATAATTTAAAAAAACATATTAGCATCCTGCACTCCTTCTCTAGATTCTTTATAAGCGTTGAAAATTTCATACTCCTCCGTCCGCGCAATTTTCGTAAAAAGGGATACAAAGTTTTTGCTTCACGTATTAGTATATAGATGTATAAACTGCACGTAAATAAATAGTTCTACGCAAATATCTGTACTTTACTCTAAGTCGACAACGGATATTTGTTTTACTGATATACGACCTCAATTACGAACGCCATTGAGGCTTTATTGTGTACAAATGTCACAACCATTGAAAACTTTCCGTGCGCGTACTCTAGATATATATTTTTTCCTTAATACTGTCCGACCTATACATAATCCTTGTCTGTCATATTATCTAAAAAACGAAACAAGAATCACTCGTGAACAGTGTGCCTTAGTGCGAGTTTTTTAACGTTCTCGATAGCGTAAAAGTTACTCAAATTTGTATGGAGCTGGAACGTTTGCCTGCGTTTGCCGCTAGGGGCGCTGTTCCAACTGCATACAAATTTGCGTTAACTTTTACGTTATCGAGAACGTTAAATAGCTCGCACTAAGCACTCAGATCTGCGTAACGAGATAGATATCTTAGACCTGACGTACTTAGTTACATTATTTTTTTTTTTAAGGATATTTGTCTGAAAGTAATTAGCAATTGGTTTTTTATGGTTCAAGATATAACGCTACGCTGCATACAAATTTGCGTTAACTTTTACGTTATCGAGAACGTTAAATAGCTCGCACTAAGCTGCACACTGGTAATTTATGATTTCTTGTAAACACAACGGTACTTGCCTACACAAACGGTATCTTGAATGAGAGACGCGCATTATTTACCATTAGATTCTAAAACATGGATACGTGATTCACATCACTATGCACATTTCATATATCAATATTATGCAAATTACATATTGTTAACTTCTCCGTGCTTAAGATTCTTTGGAACTATATAGCCTTGCAGTTCCCATAGGCATATATCCTTTATTGTATTGATGATCTTCAAACGAATACCACTATTCGCTTTGAAACATAAGATTGACGTAACTAATATATTTTTCTTTAAACTCTCTGATACAATCACAGAGTATGCTTAAGATTAACAGAGATATCTCAAATATTGACTGTCATGGAAGCCACGGCTCCCCCAAATATTTACTATAGATGCATACTCTTGCATTGGATATTTGAATGATTTATTGATAATGTTTGAGAAGAGATTTACATTGTTTTTTTTATTGCTCAGATGGGTGGACGAGCTCACAGCCCACTTGATGTTAAGTGGTTACTGAAGCCCATAGACATCTATAACGTAAATGCCGCCACCCACCTTGAGATACAAGGTCTAAGGTCTCAGTATAGTTACAACGGCTGCCCCACCCTTCAAACCGAAACGCATTACTGCTACACGGCAGAAACAGGCAGGGCGGTGGTACCTACCGATGGCGATGTTTCTTTAATTGTAATCGTTTGACAGATTAAAAAGATGAATTGTAAAATGCGTATGAAATCGCAAAAACCCGCTCGTGTATAATATGTACCTAGTACTTTCGCGTTAAATGTCCAATAACCGGTTAAGCTGTATACGATCTTAAGCTTGTATTTTACTTCGGACAGTTTCGCTAAAGCTACTTTCAAACTGCAACTGTAATGTTTGTTTCCTTGTTCTATTTATATTTGTTTCTTAATACGTATTGATAATTTGTATGATAAAAACTCGCACAAGTAAACCTTAACTATCGAATGAAATTATTTTCTCTGCTTGTAGTTAGTTCTGCGGTGTTTTGGTTTTACATTTTTTTTTATTGCTTAGATGTGTGGACGAACTCACAGCCCTCGTGGTGTTAAGTGGTTACTGGAACCTATAGACATCTACAACGTAAATGCGCCACCCACCTTGACATATAAGTCCTAAGGTCTCGAGTATAGTAACAACAGCTGCCCCACCCTTCAAACCGAAACGCAACGGCAGAAATATAAGGTAGTACTTAAATAATCTTATGGGCACAAATGATTATACCAACACACAACATGCCAATATGATTTAGGTACACAAACTCACAACACTCTTGACGTTTCGAGGTATGTACCTACATAAATAATTATCTCGTAAATTATTTTATCGATTATTTTCATATTTACATTGACAAATTAATGTAAATATTGATCAAAAACCAATTGATTTGTCGTTAGTTAAAATATTCCGAAACGTCAATACAGATGGATATTGGTGCTGTCGGAAACGTTTTAAACGATTATATTAGAACTAATCCATTTATTTAGTACATTGTATGATATGGATGTTCAAGATTTTCCCTTATTTTTATTGGCATCGAAAATCCATTAGGACTTGTAAGTGCTTATTATGCTTAAAGTTGATGTTTAACCCTAAGAATTGCTCGAAAGCTCTCAGTGTTTTCTTCGATTTTTTTTACGAGTTGTAGACATAATTGAAACTACTCTTACGGTTTAATCTCGCAATTTTTAGGATCGTTATTGTTTATGTAAAACAACATTAAAGCCGTATGGCTCCAGCGCCTTTTGTCTCACGGGTAAGAGCTAAAAAAATAATTGTAAATAGACATGCTTTAACAAAAACCGACTTCAAATAAACAAAAAAAGATATTCCAAAACAAATTAATACATATACACTAAAAACAATAATCATCGAAATCGGTTGGCGTGATATTGAGTTATTGAGTTATTCATCTATTTATCGCGCACGTACTTAATGCCAATTTAAGACTTATATGGTTTCCTCATGGATAACATTATCAGAACTGGACTAAATTGAAATGGACCACACCAAGAATCACCAAATCGATTCACCCAATCAAAAGTTATGAGGTAACAAACATAAAAAAAAAAACATCAGTGGAATTGAGAACCTCCTCCTTTTTCAAGTCGGTTAAAAAGTAGTTTTAATTCGGACCACCTCAAGCGCACGCTTCATTTGTATTCAATTCTTAAATTATAATTATTATACCTAAGTTTCGAATACTTAACACTGTTCGTGGTCACGTTCAACTGTCGTATAAGTATGTATTTTAAATTATATCCTTAAAACTCCTATGGATAACATATTATGGATAATAAATAATGTGTTTGAGGAACGGGGTGAAGGTATTTCAGATGGTGATTGTTAAAAATGATTCAGCAGAAAAATAAAGTAAATGGCATCAAAATGTCAATTTTTTTACAAGGATATATTGAGGAAAACAGCACAAAAAATGTAACGGAAAAATTCGTGACTTTTCCTTTTCAATTAATCGAACAGTTTTAATTAAATACTTAATTGCTTTGTGGTTTCGATCTAGAATAACATTGCTACCCCATTTCCTCCAGTCTCAAAAGATGACTAAGGGATTCAGCAGATAATGGGCAGCAGCAATCTTTGTGACCTTAAAGCAGCCCACTGAGATTTACAATTGGTATTTCTGTCAATTAATGGGTGAGACAGTAGATAATAGGCAGAAATATAATACAAACGAGACTTGAACTCATGTTTCAAGGTAGGAAGCAGCAATCAAATTATAATATCTTTGGGGTCTGGTATCCACTTATATATCCACCCCAGTGGACCCTGGACTCATCCTTCCGTCTATGTCAAAAAAGCAAATAATAGACAGAAAAAGAAGTTGGTTTTTATTTCTTGCTTAGGTTGGTGGATGAGCTCACGGCCAATCTGGTGTTTAGTGGTTACCGGAGCCCATAGACATCAAAAAACGTAACTGCCGCCACCCAACTTAAAACATGAGTTATAAGGTCTCAGTATAGTTACAACGGCTGCCCCACCCTTCGAACCGAAACGCATTACTGCTTCACGGCAGAAATAGGCAGAGCGGTGGTACCTAACCGTGCGGACTCACATCACTCCCTATCACCAATAATAAATGATTAATAAATGAACACGGGTCTCAAGCTTTACAGTATGACGGCTCCCTACAGTACGACCCTTGAATCTGAAAGGCAATTCTGTGCGTGGCATTTTAGGGATCATAATTCAAGTAATTGAACCAGACATTAACATAATTTAACTGAACTATACTGAGAGATCTTAGAACTTATATCTCAAGGTGGGTGGCGCATTAACGTTGTAGATGTCCATGGGCTCCAGTAACCACTTAACAACAGGTGGGCTGTGAGCTCGTCCATCCATCTAAGCAATAACTAAATAAATAAATTAATTAAAAAATAAACTTTTCTGAATTGATCCTATAACTAAAAAAATATAAGAAAAAACGTTTTTTAGTGCGGCGTACCGTACACAAAAATTCTATATTTGAATATTATCATTTATTAACACCTATATCATTAATCCATTTTACATAATCACACACGACTCATCGTCAAATGTTTTCGGTCTTATTTTGTAACTTTACAATTGAATATTCATTTTTTCTTTTTTGTGACAATATTTTTAAACGTCATTCTCGAGACCTTCCTGCCAGCTAATTTATTTACATTAATCTTTGAATGTACTAATAAATAGATCTTCAAGAACGATAATGTTTGCATATTCGTCATCGGCGCCGTGGTAAACTCGCGGAATTGTAATCTCTCAGTTCCTAATATCATAATTTATACGCGTCACAAACGAAGCGTTCTAAGAATATTTCCATTTTTAATAACAAGTTTTATTTTTTTAATATACTTAATATTATAAAGAGGAAAGAATTGTTTGTTTGTTTGTATTGAATAGGCTCCGAAACTATTGAACCGATTTAAAAAAATATTTCACTGTTTGGAAGCTACACTATTTCCGAGTGACATAGGCTATAATCTTTTTTGAAAAAAATTAGGATCCTTACTAAAACTCTAATAATGTAACCAAAGGTGTAAAGAAATTACCTAAAATATTCTTTACATCGCGTGCCCTGCGAAAACTATTGATGATAGAATAAAATAATGTACTACGACTTTGTAGAGCACATTATTATTTACAAAAAGTGTCGCGACAGCGTATGTCTCACTATTATAGTTACGCCGCAATAAGTGTTCTTTTACTTAAAAAATAAAACAACGTCAAATATCGTTGAAATTTTTGTTAAAGACCCGAGCGGAGTCGGAGCGGGCCGCTAGTTTATATTATATATATTTATAGTTGATACAATTTAAAACTCGGAATTTTAGATAATAAGTAATTGATATACAAAACGATCTTCTTGCCATTTGTGGTCAGTCTTTCGTTTAAGACGCACGCCTATTAAACGGAGCGGCGGCGTTTCCATTCAGTGTTTGGACTGTATTGAGTGAGTTGTAATGTGTTGAACAATAAAATGTCGACCGGAATATGGCCGTTGATGCATGTCCGGTGCCGTTGGATCGAAACGTTAAGACACTGCGGGAAGACTCTGCTTAGACGTCAGAGGCGCTTACTCAGGAGACTCAAGAAGGTAAAGAAATACGTGACTTTTTATTTACTGTTGTAAATGGACATAATTGACATGATTGATTTCCACGGTAAAGGAATAACATCGTGTAATAAAAATGAAACCCGCAAAATTATGATTTGCGTAATTACTGGTGGAGGACCTCTTGTGAGTCCGCGCGGGTGGGTACCACCACCCTGCCTATTTCTGCCGTGAAGCAGTAATGCATTTCGGTTTGAAGGGTGGGGCAGCCGCTGTAACTATACTTGAGACCTTAGAACTTATATCTCAAAGTGGGTGGCGCATTTACATTGTGGATGTCTATGGGCTCCAGTAACCACTTAACTCCAGGTGGGCTGTGAGTTTGTCCACCCAGCTAAACAATAAAAAATAAAAAAACCTAAGGTCAAACTATAGTGGTAGTAGCTGATCACAGCTCGTGAGCCGGTAGTACTGTGTTCACGTCCGAGAGGACCAGAAATGCGTAAAAAGGTACTTTTATATTGACCAGTGGTCCCGCAGTAGTCGAAATTCGACTATAATTAATTGAAATTATAAGTTTCAACATTATTATGGTCCTATTGTCACAGATTTCGCCAAGACTACACAAATACTCGTAATATTATCCTTAATTTAACTACAGACTTTAAGCAATAACAAAAGTTTTACAATAAACAAAGAGTATATTTTGTGTGTGTGTCAAATACATGGTACGTAGTGTGTGTAATGTTTTCTTTATTGATTTAATGTATCTTTTAAACATTATTTAAAAAAAAATAGCATTGTGCACTTCTTCCCTATATTCTCTAGAAGTGTGGAAAATTTCATACTCCTCCGTCCGCGCAATTTTCGTAAAAAGGGATACAAAGTTTTTGCTTCACGTATTAATTAATATATATATATAGATTTACCGTGGTCCGTTTAGTTAGACGATCCTGCAGAAGCTTGTTGGGTTCTAGTCGGTAATCGGTTTTGCGACTTATCTCGAGATAGAGATGTCGTAGCGCGAGATAATCCGGCCGAATACCTCACCCTCACGGTCAAATAACCTCAAACTGGATTGTTTAATGAGAAAAATAGTAATTAAAACTAATTATATACGGTTGAATTTCGTCTTTATTCTTGTTATTATCATAATAACAAACACAATTATATTATTTCCGACATTTCGAATACAGAATTTTCGCGACTAAAGACGACTCCGAAACTGAAACTTTAATACCGAAGAAAATATATAAAATAAATGTGTATTTCTAGCTCAAAGCATTTGTGCATTTTAGTTTTAAGTCAGAAACGTTTGGAACCTCTGGGTCTGCGGAGGGACTTCGGTTCCCACTGTATTTTGTACCGTATGTTCCATGGGCAGTGCTCTGAGGAATTGCTTGAGATGATCCCTTCATCTCCTTTTTATCATCGCACCTCCCGCCATCGGAGCAGAGTTCATCCGTATAACCTCGAACCACTGCGTTCATCGACAGTGCGTTTCCAGAGGTCTTTTTTGCCACGCACCATCCGGCTATGGAATGAGCTCCCCTCCAGGGTGTTTCCCGAGCGCTATGACATGTCCTTCTTCAAAAGAGGCTTGTGGAGAGTATTAAGCGGTAGGCAGCGGCTTGGCTCTGCCCCTGGCATTGCTGAAGTCCATGGGCGACGGTAACCACTCACCATCAAGTGGGCCGTATGCTCGTCTGCCTAAAAGGGCAATAAAAAAATAAAAATAAAATTGGTGAAATGTTAAAAATCTGTTTCCAATTTTATTTATTTCAGCGCTATACCTATGTATAGAATTTATAAATAATTATAAAGTTTTTACCATAATTTTAGAGTTGCCATTAAAAGTGCTCGTAAAAAAAGTAGAATATTAATTACCCTGTAATGCGCATAACCCCAATTTTTATTTATTAAGTAATTGTAAATTTGCGCTGTCGAATAAAATTTGCTATAAATCTGATACTCTACAAAATTAGTTGAAATAGTTCTTTCAAAGGTGTTCATTTAAAACGATGTCATAAAACTTGTTTATTAATAATCATTTCCGTTTAACCTGATTATATGTAGATATTGATATCCATTATTTTACATAACGATGATCTATACATACATATAAATCAAATTGGAGTGTCTGTTTGTTATATTGAAATAACCGTTTTTACTACATGCATATGAATATATATACGGTACATACACCAAAATAACATTATTTACATTTTTTGTCTGTCTGTCTGTTTGTTCCGGCTAATCTCTGGAACGGCTGGACCGATTTTGACGAGACTTTCACTGAGAGGCAGCTGATGATATAAGGAGTAACTTAGGCTTTTTTTAGATTAGCTTCGCCCCGCGGCGTTACCCGCGGTATGACAATAACCGCGGCACTCGGGCAATCAATAATAAAATCAAAAATTTCCGAAGCGAAGCGAGGGCGGGTCGCTAGTTTTATAATAAAACTGAGTGTTCATTTTCGATTTCGTTAGTCGCGATTGTGGCTTTATGTGACCTCTTCGATATTGGTCGTTTTTATACAATGCTATCATTCTGCACGAACACTCTTCTTGAAGCATACGTTGTTTCACTTGCTTTTTATGTGATTTCTTGACCTGTTTAATCTTATTTCTGAGGAAGAAGAAGTGCCTTTGAATTTAGAAAATGCATGCTTGTATTTTTGAGTGCGCACTTTTATGGTAGATCAAACGGGGTCGATTTTAATGAAAATGAAACTTGGAGTTTACTTAAACTTTATCTGGATCACAGAAGACACTACGTTTTATGTCTGGAGAAACGTTAATATTGTTTGAATCGGTTTACGTGTGCGTGTCTCAATTCTTAATTAAATCTAGTCGTAATACGAAATCGATCCATAGGGCGGGGACATATTATTTCGAAACATGGTAATGTTGCATCTTTTATGTTTTGTTCATTGTTCAGTGGCGTATATATTTAGTGTGGTTTGCGTTGTGACTGAATCAATTATCGGCTTGCTGTGGTACGCGAGAGGTACGTTCATTCACTGCATATTATTAGTTTATTCATTTGACAAAGCACATGTCATTAATTAATGTAATGGAATATTTTTGAATTGAATTTTTCCGCGATGTTAATTACTTTATAAATCTTTGTCTTGTTTTTTTTTATAATCGATGAATTTCACTGAAGTGTGTTTATTTTGAGTTAAATTTCTCTTGTGTTTGTGATTTTTGAGTAAAACTGTGCTCGGAATAAACAATTGTAATGAGGAAGGGCGTAATGTGAGACTGTATGGCCACCCAATCTTCTGCCACAATGGAATTACATGTGCCTGAAGACAATGGTATTGAAGATAATCCGTATCATTATTATCTACTTAGCACAGCAACAACTCAGCCGAGCAAAAAATAAAAATAAAAATCTTTTCATAAATGAGGAAGCTATAAGCTTTTTGTCATACCAGACAGAGAAGAGCACAATATTTTTCGGTGATGGTGTCGAATTTTGATTTTTATTCGACGGTTAATTATTTCACTTTAATAATATAACGGAAAACTGCAGGTGCAATCACGCTATAAATTAATTTTATTATTATATAGATGGGTCAGCTATTTTTAATTATTATTTTTGAGTTTCATTAAAATAACGGCGCTTAAAAATAATCTTACTCGCTCGCAACTGCATAATTGCTTTACCGCACAAAAATATTGTGATATTAACAAACAAAATGTAGTAGAGATTGATGAAGCGGAAACTATAGTTGCTTCAGAAAGTCTAAGACATAAATCCGTATCATTCACTTAATAGCCAAACAAACTAATACCATGTAAGGTTCTCTGGTCACAAGCAATAACATCTACATTCGTATGTAACTTGAACGTAACTCTGGTGCTCGCAGATGCTCGAAATAGGCGAATTTTTTGCAATGCATTTATACTTGTTACACAGTATAAGCACAGGATAAGTTATTTATTGCTTAGATGGATGGACGAGCTCACAACCCACCTGATGTTAAGTGGTTACTGGAACCCATAGACATCCACAACGTAAATGCGCCACCCACCTTGAGATATAAGTTCTAAGGTCTAAGTATAGTTACAACGGCTACCCCACCCTTCAAACCGAAACGCGTTACTGCTTCACTGCGAAAATAGGCGGGGTGGTGATACCTACCCTTGCGGTATCCCAAGAGGTCCTACGACCAGTGATTACGCAAATTATAATTTTGGCGGGTTTGATTTTTATTACACGATGTTATTCCTTCACCGTGGAAGTCAATCGTGAACATTTGTTGAGTACGTATTTCATTAAAAAAATTGGTACCCGCCTGCGGGATTCGAACACCGGTGCATCGCTACATACGAATGCGTTTTCATTTTACATTCCGTCGAACTCTAAATGCGTTATTTTGTTTATTGTAAACACTCTGAAAGTACGTTTTGTCAACAATAAACAAGCGTAATGTAAAAACACGTTACATTTTGTAACCGCTGACGGGCGGGCGTTGTTGCGAAATCAATCGACCGGTCGATTGCCAAATCGTTTACATCCAAACGTTTCACATATTCAATATTGTTCTAATACAGATTTTTTATTAAAACGGATTTTATTATGTTAATTAGCAGTAGAGGATTATATTTAAATGTATTTAAATGTGAGTTCTTTCCTAGTTTATTATATTGTTAGCTTTTTTTTATTGCGTATATGAGTGGATGAGCTCACAGCCCACCTGGTGTCAAGTGGTTACATAGACATCTATGACGTAAATGCGCCACCCACCTTGAGATATAAGTTCTAAGGCCTCAAGTATAGTTACAACGGTTGCCCCACCCTTCAAGCCGAAACGCATTATTGCTTCACGGCAGAAATAGGCAGGGTGGTGGTACCTACCCGCGCGGACTCACAAGAGGTCCTACCACCAGTAAAAGCTTTTAAATATAATACGTTAATATAAAAAAAAGAAACATCGGTAGTGGCAAAAAAGATAACCTATGTCCTTTTCTGTACGTCTTAACAACATTTGCCCATAATTTCATGACGATTGATCGGTTGAGTGGTTTAAACGTGAAAGCGTGACAAACGAACAAATTCACTTTCGCGTTTTATAATATTGATGAAGTATGGATTTAGTATTAGTGTGTTTTTTTTTTATTATTGCTCTTGTAGGCAAACGAGCATACGGCCCACTTGATGGTGAGTGGTTACCGTCGCCCATGGACTTCAGCAATGCCAGGGGCAGAGCCAAGCCGCTGCCTACCGCTAACCAAGCCGCTGCCTACCGCTCCAAGCCGCTGCCTACCGCTCCAAGCCGCTGCCTACCGCTATTTTGTGATACAGGCCAGCGGCTTTTGAAGCGATCTGATTAAATAAACTTGTTTATGACGGAACAAAAATAAACGCATCGTAAAAAACGTAAAGTTACGAATCGTTGTAATAATGATATACATTACCGCGTTACATTTTAAACCGTATTTATTTTCACGGCACTTGATTTTGATGATTGCACTTTTTTTTTTTATATTCTTACGAAATGCTTTCGTTGTTGCGTTCTCACATGAAAAACTCACTCAATAGATTTAACAACGTCAATGCGAATCTTTTAGATCGTGAGCTCATTACTGCTTCATGGTAGTAATAGTTAGAACGATACTAATTATACTGACGCGTTTAAAATATATTCTGCAAGCAGTAATCACTGAAAGTTGTTATTAATTTTGTTTACGCTTGTCCTGTTAGGGCCAATGTCGATCATTGACCTTTTGGGGCAAAGAAAACGAAATAAAAACATTTCAATATGAATTCAATGAGTTATTTTTATCCAACGGTTTCGTTTCTTGTCCGGGGCCGTATCTTAATAGACCAGTGTACATTGTTGTTACTTTTTAACCTCTTTAGAATTTTCGTTCATTATATAATTTATTGGGAGTGTGAAACTAGAATAATAATTGTAATTCGAATGCAATCAAATCTTCTACTGCAAGAGACGAATGATTGCTTGATCACTATCAGAGCCGTCTCCTATAGTTAAAAGTTTATAATCTATATATTAATACGTGAAGCAAAAACTTTGTATCCCTTTTTACGAAAATTGCGTGGACGGAGGAGTATGAAATTTTCCACACTTTTAGAGAATATAGAGAAGAAGTGCACAACGCTATTTTTTTTTAAATAATGCATAAAAGATACATTAAATCAATAAAGAAAACATTACACACACTACATACATGTATTTGACGCACACACGCATGCACACTATTTATTGTCAAACTTTTGTTCTTGACGTCTGTTGTCAAATTGAGATTAAATATTGTTTGTCTTTGTTAATATTTTTTATAGTGTAGGTAGTCTTAGCGAAATTTGTGATTATAGAAGTATAAAATACAATCATAATAGTGTACAAACTTACAATTCCAATTAATTATAGTCGAATTTCGACTACTGCGGGACCTCTAGTATGTATAAAAGCGTTATGAAAGCAACGCCGGACAACAGTGCGGTTTTTAAATTAAATATGACTTAAATGCTGTTTAGATTTACGTAATATGTACACACGTGCTACATTTGCGTGGCAGGTGTCAATGATAATTTGTTCTGTAGAGGCGGAAGAGATGGCGGTCCATCCGATGCTAAGTAGTCACCGGAGTCCATAGAGACAACAAAGTGAATGCCGCCCTTCGCTTTGAGATATAAGGTAGAATTCTGATTGGTATTGCTGTCGGACTATTCCATCACTCAGACCGAATAGTATATGATAATGCAACTCATACATGCGATCTTAGAATACGCGTTTCCCACAGACACAGCCCACTGAGTTTCTCGCCGGATCTTCTCAGTGGGTCGCGTTTCCGATCTGGCGGTAGATTCTGCGAAGCACTGCTCTTGCTAGGGCCAGTGTTAGCACCACTCCGGTTTGAGCCCCGTGAGGTCACTTAAACGTTAGGGTGAAGCTAAAATAGCCTCTCAAGGCCATCAACATAGGTAGAAAAAAAAAAGAATACGCCTTACCGCCGATAAATGGTGTACGATGATTTTTGTAAGCCAAAGTGAAGCTGGCAGCTGGCAGTAACTGGATGCGTAGAACCGAAGATCAGGTTCAGTGGCGAGCTTTGGGGGAGGCCTATGTCCAGCAGTGGACTGCCGCAGGCCGATGATGATGATGAAAGTGAACAAAATGCTATGTACTATAAATAAGGTAAAGGGACGTAGGAACAGCCATTGTGTTTATATGTACATATAAATATCTAGACTGTTATCAGGGTTGGGATCTTTTAACCTTTCAACTTGTTTCATTGTATATTTTTGTTAAAAAAATTATATTACAATGAGGATTTAAAGTGTATTGATGAATATGCATGAAGGACAGGTGTGTACGTTTTGCGAACTGTTATAGCTTCCCGTTGCACTCCTTCTTGCTAACTATGCACTCTGTCCCGCTACCTCAACACTCTTCATAACACACCTATATCGGGCTCACGTTAGTGAGTCAGTCTCCTTTCTCTCCTCATCCAAGACGGTCGTCCTAAATCATATAAGTATTTTTTTAAAAAGCTAAATATCCTGTGGCTCATAACAGAATGCATTTTCATTATTAATTATTATTATTAAATTATTTATTTCAGATAATTATCCATATAAATGTTAGTAACAGTGATTTCTTAAAAATAAGTTAGTAAGGACACAGTAATAAAAGAAAACAACAACATACATACTATATAAGGTTGCAATAGCGGCATTACGAGCAAATTTTGTGAACCTCTCTGCATTGATTCAGAAAAGGTCCATCTAATCTAGAGAATATCATGGCCAGGCTAGCTGTTGGAGCTAGCCCCTAACCTGCAGAGCAAGGTACTTTTGGTACTTTGGTAATTAATGGTCCTTTCGTTTTTGTTAACAGGCGTACCTGCACAGTTGGCGCTCTGCAGACGAGCTGAACATGTTTGTGGGTGCGAAGGTCGGAGGTGCAACGCCCCTCGTGATCGCCTGCAGGAACGGGCATTATGACGTCGCCGAATACCTCATAGAGAGATGCAAGGCTGATATAGAACAGCCCGGATCAGGTTTGTGCAACCGTTCATTTCCATATCGACAAACGAAAGCGGAATTGTCGCCCTCAGACTCAGCCCACTGAGTTTCTCGCCGGATCTTCTCAGTGGGTCGCGTTTCCGATCTGGTGGTAGATTCTGCAAAGCACGGCTCTTGTTAGAGTTCGTGTTAGCAACGTCGTCAGGTTTGAGACCCTTTAGCTCACCTACTAGTTAAGGTTACGCTGAAATAACCTCTCAAGGCCCTCAGCTTAGGTAGGAAAAAAAAGGAATTGTCGTAACTAGAAAAACCCAACTTAACACCAGAGCCTTACATAGAATATAATATGGTACAAAGTGATTTAGCCTAAAATGTGAGTTACGACATTACCGCTTTCTCCCATGGATGTATCGTGGTACACGAACTCGCACATCGCCTTTAGAAGTGACGTGTCTCAAATTGTTATTGTAAAGAGGAACGCATAAATCAAAGTAAATTTTAATGTCTCTTTAACTATTCGCTGGGAGCCTACACGCGAACGGGTATGTGAGCTCACGGACTCAATCTGAAAGAATTTGCTAACACTAGCCCGAGCAGTGCTTCGCAGAATTTACCGCCGGATCGGAATCGCGACCCACTGAGAAGATCCGGCGAGAAACTCAGTGGGTTTTGTCTATGGGTTAGTTCGGAAGTATGGGTTAGTTACAACTTTAGAACCAGTGCTCTAAGAGCCTAAAATCACTCGCAGTGAATCTGCAGGATGCGATAAGACAAGTTTCAGGCGACTGTGCCTTTGCGTTACCCCTTCGCCCGAGTTGGATATGTAAATTGTAAACTCAAAACTGTATCTTTTTTCTTAAACACTTCAATATAGCCATTATAATCTTAGTTCAATATTATCATCGTCATCATTCTCCTGCCCTTCTTCCAGTCACCTGGGATCGGCGCAACATGTTTACTCCTTCCATACTCCTCTATCATATACCATTTCTTCGCTCACTCCCCTCTTACACATATCGTCTTTCACGCAATCCTCCCATTTCTTCTTAGGTCTACCTCTTCCTCTATATTCTTCCACATTCATAGTTAACACTCTCTTATCAACCTAAATTTTTTTTAGTTTTATTTAGTTCAATATTATATGCAAGGAAAATGTGAATGCTTAGGCGGATGAGAGATTAAAAGTGATAATTTATCTTGTCTGCGATTTTCCAAGGATTGCTATCATTAACATTTCTATGAACACGGAAGTTGAAGCCATTTCACACTGAACGTAATTCGTAATTCCCAAGATTCTCGTGTAATTTTCTTATATTTTTCTTACGAGGTCAATTTTTTCTTTACCATTATTTAAAGAAATCTTGATTGAGTGTGGTCGCACAGATAGATGTAATTAATGTTGTCGTGGCCTAAAGGATAAGCCGCCGGTGTATTCGTATCAAGCGGTGCTGATATGCCGGTGTTCAAATCCCGCCGGCAGGTACCAATTTCTCTAATGAAATACATACTTAATGCATGTTCACGAATGACTACCACGATGAAATAACATCGTGTAATAAATATCGAACCCGCAAAAAATTGTATTATAGTTTTTGTTATTATCGTAATTTCATTTAATTTAAATTGAAAATAATTAAATTAAATTAAATTAATTGGTATACAATTGCGACCTAAACCTCAAGTTTGAAGGTGGGTGGTGGCCTCATTCGTTTGCTGCGGCATCAGCAACAACATGAAATTTTATATTAATACATAAAAGTCACAGAGGATTCAGAACGCTAACTAAGATAATTGACTATAATTATAATAAATAATTAATTTACCTAAGATAATTTTAGATAAACTGAAGTCCTTGGAAAATTTAAATCAAGATAAAATAAACTTTAAAGAGCGTTTTGAAGTATTGAATGATACACATCTAACAAAATGAAGAGACTGAGGTAGAGAGACGACTTGCCCGATTAGCCTCCTCATGTCTCTAGGCAAACTGTATAAGCGTCTGCTCTACAAACGCCTCAGAGACTTCGTCTCATCCAAGGGCATTCTCATCGATGAACAATTCGGATTCCGTATAAATCACTCATGCGTTCAACAGGTGCACCGCCTCACGGAGCACATTCTTGTGGGGCTTAATCGACCAAAACCGTTATACACGGGAGCTCTCTTCTTCGACGTCGCAAAAGCGTTCGACAAAGTCTGGCACAACGGTTTGATTTTCAAACTATTCAACATGGGCGTGCCGGATAGTCTCGTGCTCATCATACGGGACTTCTTGTCGAACCGCTCTTTTCGATATCGAGTCGAGGGAACCCGCTCCTCCCCACGACCTCTCACAGCTGGAGTCCCGCAAGGCTCTGTCCTCTCACCCCTCCTATTTAGCTTATTCGTCAACGATATTCCCCGGTCGCCGCCGACCCATTTAGCTTTATTCGCCGACGACACGACTGTTTACTATTCTAGTAGAAATAAGTCCCTAATCGCGAAGAAGCTTCAGAGCGCAGCCCTAGCCCTAGGACAGTGGTTCCGAAAATGGCGCATAGACATCAACCCAGCGAAAAGTACTGCGGTGCTATTTCAGAGGGGAAGCTCCACACGGATTTCCTCCCGGATTAGGAGGAGGAATCTCACACCCCCGATTACTCTCTTTAGACAACCCATACCCTGGGCCAGGAAGGTCAAGTACCTGGGCGTTACCCTGGATGCATCGATGACATTCCGCCCGCATATAAAATCAGTCCGTGACCGTGCCGCGTTTATTCTCGGTAGACTCTACCCCATGATCTGTAAGCGGAGTAAAATGTCCCTTCGGAACAAGGTGACACTTTACAAAACTTGCATAAGGCCCGTCATGACTTACGCGAGTGTGGTGTTCGCTCACGCGGCCCGCACACACATAGACACCCTCCAATCCCTACAATCCCGCTTTTGCAGGTTAGCTGTCGGGGCTCCGTGGTTCGTGAGGAACGTTGACCTACACGACGACCTGGGCCTCGAATCAATTCGGAAATACATGAAGTCAGCGTCGGAACGATACTTCGATAAGGCTATGCGTCATGATAATCGCCTTATCGTTGCCGCCGCTGACTACTCCCCGAATCCTGATCATGCAGGAGCCAGTCACCGTCGACGCCCTAGACACGTCCTTACGGATCCATCAGATCCAATAACCTTTGCATTAGATGCCTTCAGCTCTAATACTAGGGGCAGGCTTAGGGACCCCGGTAACCGTACTCGTCGAACTCGACAAAGAGGTCGACGTGCAACCTAACCCATGCATCAGCCCGCTGAGTTTCTCGCCGGATCTTCTCAGCGGGTCGCGATTCCGATCCGGTAGTAGATTCATTCGCGAAACAATTGCTCTTGAGTTGTTAGGTCTCCTTCGGAGGCGCTCGGGCAGTTGTTAGCAAATCCCGCCCCTCTTGGCTGAGCCTTTGCTCGCCCACCTGTCCTGGTGAAACTGGAAAGGCCTTCGGGCCACCAGTAAACTTTCAATCATAAAAAAAAAAAGGTAGAGAGAAGGCAGTGACGCGATTTGTAGTAGCAATGTGTTGTTAGTAACTGTTTTCTTTGTACTGGAAAACGGTTTGTTGTCATTTTAAAAAGGAATGAAATTTTTATTAATTGTTCTGTCTTTCGTTAGTTGAGAGTTAGGTTTCGCCGCTCCTTATTTGGCTTGGGGGCTGTTTTGGGGACCGGTGATAGAGCTATATGATTTCTACATTAATATTGAAATTCATTTAAGCTAATAATACCTACATATATAATTTTCATCACTCTTTGTGAGTCACAGACTGATTTTACGACAGTCGTCCGTGACCACGAAAAGTATAGTATTCGGAACGTCCGAAATAATACGATAACAATAAAAACTAGATTGACTGATAGACTGACTCGTTAGCGCAGTAGTTAGTAGCTTTGACTGTTGCGCCGAGGGTCGTGGGTTCGATTTCGACATCGAGCAAACGTTCGTGTGATGAACAGGGTTTGATTGATCTGTCTCTGGATGATCATTATCTATATGTGTGTATATATTTAAACATACGTAAGTATGAAGAAGATATGAATGGAGTGTGTGAATGACGATCTGAGGTAGAGAGGAGTGAGTGCTGTGATGACGGCTGATAGAAGAGAATGGAATAGAAAAATTCGCTATGCCGACCCCACATGTGATAAGGTGACAACAAAGAAGAAAAGAAAGAAGTATGCTTATCAGTTTCTGAATTGAGGCCGGATGACCGACCGTGCGTGTTTTGTTCCCACTCATTATTATAAGTTGAAAAAAAAACCGCGAACTCAAAAACTGTAAAAGTAGTTTTGATTATAAAATTTAATTTAATTCAATATGAGATCAATTGCTTATTTACAAATACATTACGTTGGTTATCATCCGTTTAATCTGCGTCAATGTATTGGCGCGTGGCCATTTGTTATCAATGATTCGATGCACGTGGATTGTTTTCGATACAACGTCTCCCATCTCATAAAGAAATGACCGATTTTCGTGTGATTTAAGAATGTCTTGTTATTTATTATAATATGACGTATAGATATGGGATGATAAATAAATAAATAAATATATACTAACAATCACACCACGTAAACTGGTCCCGTGATAAGTTCGTAAAGAACTTGTGTTACAGGTACCAGATAACGGAAATAAATGTAAGATTTTTATTATACACATACATATGTTTAATATACATCCATAACCCTGGAAAATACATTTATATTTATCATACAAATATCTTCCCTTGGCGGGATTCGAAACCGCGACCCCCTTGTGTAGTGACCATGTCACTTACCACTACACCAGACGGCCGTTGAATGATGAACACGTACTGTAATCTTTCTTAAATTATTCTTAAGAAATTGAGTCTTGGAGGTCATATAATAATTGGAGGGATCAAAGGTTATTTTGTTTAAGCGACATTTCGCTCAATACGCGACATTTATCTTTGTAATGAAAGGTCCGTTTTATGCCTTAGCGGTATCAACAATTCGATGCTATTTAATTGAACTTCAATTAAGTTTACCCCATTAAAATAGATGAAGAAGTTTTTTTTGTTATTATATTTTTTCAAAATTTTAAACTTTATATGGCTCTCCTGTAAAGTTGAAACAATGTCAATTAAACCAAATAACCTTTCAGCTCTCGATAAAGTGTGCACACCATTAACAGTACATGTATACACCATTAAAACTATTTGCTTTTTAACCGACTTCAAAAAAGGAGGAGGTTCTGAAGTCGACTGGTTGTTTTTTTTTTTATGTTTTTTACCTCATAACTTTTGACTGGGTGAATCGATTTTGATGATTATTTTTTTTATTAGAAAGCTGACGCTTCTCGTGTAATCCCATTTCAATTTAGTGCAGTTCTGATAATGGTATCCATATAAGTCTTAAATTTGCATTAAGTACGTGCGCGACAAATAGGTGAATAACTCAATATCACGCCTATCGATTTCGATAATTATTGTTTTTAGTGTATCTTAATTTGTTTTGGGACATAATTTTTTTTAGAACGACGTTCCTTATTTGATGATGCGGAGGGGTTCCCTAACCGGGAAAAAACTTCCCTAACGTAAGATTTTTATTAGTAATGTACACAGTGTACGACTTAACTTTGTAATAACGTACAAAAAATAACATATTTCTTTATCATTCATTGAACACGATCTCAGAGCGTTCGTTTGCGCAATACACTAACTCTTTGCAAACCACCGAGAATGAAGTGTACCAGAATAAGTTCGACGTTACTGAATGACCGTGGGTTGTTGCGAAACCTCCAATTTTATTTTCTTTATACCTCGAATAGAACTTAAAATTAATATATTTATAATAAGGAACTTCGTTCCTATCCGGTGTCCCACACGACACCACACGTCCTTTTTTCTTTTTGAATGTCTATTTACGATTATTTGATTTGTTTAACGTTAATACGTTTACGTTAATATACGTTTTACGTTAATTACAGTGACGTTCGACGGTGAAACAATCGAGGGTGCTCCTCCGCTGTGGTGCGCGGCCGCGGCCGGCCACCTGCCTCTGGTGAAACTCCTGGTTCGTGCCGGAGCCAACGTGAACTCAACAACGCGGACGCACAGCACCCCGCTCCGGGCGGCCTGCTTCGATGGACACTACGATATCGTGAAGTTTCTCGTCGAAAATGGGGCCGGTAGGTTTTTATTTTATTTTTGACGTGACACCGTGTTATAATTCGATGGAGCCGGCTGCACGGGCGAAAAAAACATGACTCATGCGGCGTTACCTCGCTCTGAAGCGTTCCATTTAAGGCTTGAAGTGCAAGCGAGAGCGCGCAACGAGCGACAAAGGGGCACAATCGGCCTCCGCGTTCGGCAGCGTTCGACATCTGTCTCTCTCCTACTTGAGTGAGCGATGCATCCGCGTGGACAGCTGCTATACAATAATACATTTACATGTTTTCGTCAATTATGAAGTTCAGTGAAAAGTGAATGTGGTGTCAATTGTTTATAGCAACGATAATTGCGATTATTGAAAAATGAAACCATTCCATCAGTATTTTCTTATGACGTTGTCACGTTCAACTATCGTCGGTAAACCGACTTTACAGACAACCGATATTTTTTTATTGCATTGATGGATTTTTTTATTGCATTGCATGTTATTGCTTGGATTGGTGGACGAGCTCACAGCCCACCTGGTGTTAAGTGGTTACTGGAGCCAATAGTCATCTATAACGTAAATGCCGTCACCCACCTTGAGATATGAGTTATAAGGTCTCAGTATAGTTACAACGGCTGCCCCGCTCTTCAAATCGAAACGCGTTACTGCTTCACGGCAGAAATACGCAGGGTGGTGGTACCTACCCTTGCGGACTCACAATACGCCCTACCACCAGTAAAGTTAAGGCAAAGCTGTCTCAGATCATTCTAGAATACATTTAGTGTACATCTCGATATTTAACACGTTGTACGCTTTACGACTCGTGGGTGGGCCTAACGTACTATAACCATTCGGGCCAAGCCAAAATCAGGAAAGCTATATTTTTTATCAACTTGAGATTTTCTTTAGAAAAATTATAAAATGAGATAATTCTCACGGATGATAAAAATTTGCGTCTTTTACCGTCTTCTTTAGATATTTTAAGAGGCTCACCAGTGAGTACCGTGGCCTAAATGAAAATACTCGTTTTTGTCATATGGCGTTTAAAGTGTTAAATTTGTAAAATAATATGTTCTTGATGGATATGCTCACCTTCTAATCGTAGTAGTTGGTTTTGAACAAATACGATTGGACTGTGGACCGTTCCCAATATCGCAGCGAGATAACACACACGTGTGTACTCATGTGCGTGTTCAAACACAAGCTCTTAAATAAAACCAATAAATATCGGTTCACTAATTTTTGCATAATCCGCGAACGGTCAAATGTATGAATTGATAAACGAATTAAACAGGTTTGAGGGTCGAATATATCGAAAGTACATACACACTTTTGTGTAAGCTATGTGTAATAAATACATTTTATTTTGTATGTATTTTTTTTGTCGTTAATGTAAAGTTTTCAGTAATTTAAAAAAAATCGTTAATATTTATAATACTACCGATTGATATACAGGGTCCATAAATTTCGGTTTTGGAGGATTGAGCTACCATTGTTCTCTGGACCTGAGATTTAGAGCTCATTTTTTAAGCTGGTCACCGGCAACTTAACATCAGGTGGAGCATGAGTTCCATCGCAGCTTCAAACTCCCATCTCAATTATTCAATTGAACATTATAAAATTAACTCGTAACGTTTCTTTTTTTTCTTTTTCTTCAGACATAGAAATAGCGAACCGTCACGGTCACACTTGCCTCATGATCGCCTGCTACAAGGGTCACATCAGAATCGCCAAGTACCTGTTGTCGCTCAGCGCTGATGTCAACAGAAAGAGCGTTAAGGGCAACACCGCCCTGCACGATTGCGCCGAAAGTGGCTCTCTTCATATACTCAAGATGCTGCTGGGACACGGCGCGACGATGGACGTCGATTCATACGGTAAGAGATAGCTCGAAGCTAATTTTATTAACACTGAATCGATATGTCGACACTAGAAAGGCAAACGTGACTAAGCGACAATAACTGCTTTGTACATAAATGATAGCCAATAACCATATTCGATGCGCAAAAAATATATATTTCTAGGTCTATTAAAATCATTTCAATCCTACAGCTAGATTCGTTAAAATATAATTTTTTCCAGGTATTTCAACTTTAAATTAGTCTACTGTAAAGTTCACGCATTGTCGCTTAGTCACGTTTGCCTTTCAAGCGTCGATATATAAAAATGAACTGCTGTTCGTTAGTCTCGCTAAAACTCGAGAACGGCTGAACCGATTTGGCTAATTTTGGTCTTGAATTATTCGTGGAAGTCCAGAGAAGGTTTGAAAGATAGATAAATATGAAAATGCTCGGAATTAAATAAAAATAACAATTTTGTTTTCCCTTTGATGTGTCCCCCGTTGGACGGATTCCATTTGTTTGTTTTAAGTTTATTTTATACAAAAGTTTAGGTCTTTTATTTATCGACTGAGGCATTACGAAGTCTGCCGGGTCAGCTAGTAGTTAATAAAAGTTTTTCCAGACCAGAATCCATGTAAAGAAAAACCTTTAAAACTTTTTATTTAAAAAAAAAAAGGTTTTCTAAGACGGAATCACTCATGTGTCATCAGTCATTCAAGGGAAATAGAGTTTAGTTTTGTATAGTATAATAATACTGTTTTTTTTTTATTAATTTTAAAAGGATTAAGTGCTTTAAATGTTGTGTTCTTATTATATCACAGAAAATGCAATTAAATATTTTATTGTCTACTCATTTTGAAGTATTCCATATCCATTATCTTCATTTAAAGTATTTTCGGGGTAGTTGTAAAACTAATGCAAAATTATTACCATCGTTTTTCGTGAAATTAAATTATTCTGAAATCTAAATTAAATCGAACCCATGTTAATACTCGAATTACGTTCGATCATGAAATCCGAATTGTCGAGATTACATTTTATCAAACGACTCTTGTTGCCAGCGGCTCTCAACTGTTTTTATACAGCGACTTATTAATAAACTTTAAGAGATTCACGACGACTATCTTATATACATATTTTTTATAGTTGACGTGAAATAATTTAATTTAATTGTACATCATTAATATGTACGTAGTTGTACAATTAACGCAGTTAAAGATAAAAAAAAATGTATTATAGAGATGCAAAAAATATCGTACTTGTGAAACGTAGGGTGACAAATTTTAATGCTGCTTAATGCTCTTTTTTTATTGCTTAGATGGGTGGACGAGCTCACAGTCCACCTGGTGTTAAGTGGTTACTGGAGCTCATAGACATCTACGACGTAAATGCGCCACCCACCTTGAGATATAAGTTCTAACATCTCAAGTATAGTTGCAATGGCTGCCCCCCCCTTCAAACCGAAACGCATTACTGCTTCACGGCAGCAATAGGCAGGGTGGTGGTACCCACCCGCAAGGACTCACAAGAGGTCCTACCACCAGTAAAGTATCATACCCTCTAAAGTATCGATGGAATAATGGTTATGAATAAACCTTTCAGGTATGACTCCGCTGCTGGCAGCATCGGTGACCGGCCACACGCACATTGTTGAGCATTTAATTAACGTGGAATACGGCCTGGTGACGAGGCAACAACGCATCGACGCACTGGAACTGTTAGGCGCGACTTATGTCGACAAGAGGAGGGATATGGTCGGCGCTTTGACGCTCTGGAAACGGGCCATGGACGATAGGTGAGTTTTAGTTTAAGGCTAGTTAGTTTAACGGTGGGCCGACCAAATTAAAATTGCAGTGGGAAGTCTCCTAAATGAGTGCAGTAGAATCGGGGAGAGATGGTGGGATATCTTGAGGCGTATCAATTCTGCCCCTTCCGACACTACATGATGATCACGACCACTATGTCAAGAGTGACACGATTGAGAAGAAGGAGAAGGCTTAGCTAAGGCGGCTTTTCAGGTTTTAAATGCGCTCGAGTATCGCGGGTATGTGTTGTTAATCACAAGAGGTTTGGCAGATACAATAGCGACACAAAAACTGATGATGTTTTCGGGTAGGTACGCCCACTCTTTACGCTGTCAGCGCGGTCGCTAGAAGTGCCACAAAAAGCTAAGGATTTACAATTTGGGATTAAAGGGATTTTCCAGCTACGTCTGGACGGGTAGGTGAGCGCACGGGTTCAACTTGAGAGAATTAACTAAAGTTAGCTAGCATTAGCAGGAACAGTGCTTCGCAGATTCTAAAGTCGGATCGGAATTGCGAATAATCGAGAAGATTCGGCGAGAAACTCAGTAGGCTGTGTCTGTGGGTCAGTTCGCATGTCGAACTTTTCGATCGACGAGCGAAGTGACCAGTGCTTGAGGAGCCTAAAAGCACCGAGAGTGGATCCAGGGGATCCGACAAGGCATGCTTCGGACGACGGAGGCTTTGAGTGGCCATGTTCCTTGAGTCGGACATGAGGGGAACATTTAATTAAGGTTCTTGACTAAAATACGATGATTTTTAGTGATTAGGTCCGTACGGTAGGCAGCGGCTTGGCTCTGCCCCTGGCGTTGCTAAAGTCTATGGGCGACGGTAACCATTCACCATCGGGTGGGCCGTATACTCGTCTGCCAGCAAGGACAATAAAAATATATAAAAAAACGTACCGAAGTGGAGCTATATAATTTGAGCTTGAAGCTTTGAAAACACGCTACGTGCTATAGTCGAACATGAAACGTTTGAATTCATTTAGTGACGATAACATAGAGGTCGCTAGTGACGCATTATGTAATATTCGTTTTTTTTTGTTTTTTTTTTTATTGCTTTGATGAGTGGACGAGCTCACAGCCCACCTGGTGTTAAGTGGTTACTGGAGCCCATAGACATCTACAACGTAAATGCGCCACCCACCTTGAGATATAAGTTCTAAGGTCTCAATTATAGTTACAACGGCTGCCCCACCCTTCAAACCGAAACGCATTACTGCTTCACGGTAGAAAAAGGCAGGGTGGTGGTACCTACCCGTGCGGACTCACAAGAGGTCCTACCACCAGTAATTACGCAAATTATAATTTTGCGGGTTTCATTTTTATTACACGATGTTATTCCTTCACCGTGGAAATCAATCGTGAACATTTGTTGAGTACGTATTTCATTACAAAAATTGGTACCCGCCAGCGGGATTCGAACACCGGTGCATCGCTANCCACCAGTAATTACGCAAATTATAATTTTGCGGGTTTCATTTTTATTACACGATGTTATTCCTTCACCGTGGAAATCAATCGTGAACATTTGTTGAGTACGTATTTCATTACAAAAATTGGTACCCGCCAGCGGGATTCGAACACCGGTGCATCGCTAAACACGAATGTACCGGACGTCTTATCCGTTAGGCCACGACGACTTCAAATTCGTGATATGCGAAGGCCGCACAGCCACTCCACAAAGGAGCCGTGGGTGATAAATGAGTTTGAGAGGTGTGCTATTGAAATGAGCCCGTTGTATGCGAGATAAATTGAGAAAATAATATATTACGTCATTACTATAACGTCAAAAGAAGGAACATCGGTATAGTTATTCTATATTAAATAACAAAGGTTATTGACATGACAATTGACAATGCATTGAATATAATGTCAATTAATGTCCTTCAATTCCGATAATAATTTATGATCCTCTGATACTAGCACTCATGTTTTAATAGATTATATCGCATCGAAATGCTATTTTCGTGGGGTGAAGTTTTGTTTTCGTTGGTAGATAATAATCGTAATTAAATATCGTACGGTGTTTGTGTGTTTTAATTTAACAATTGAAGTAATGTCGGAAATTGCAAAAAAAAGAACTAATTCAGTTTCATTAATTTAAGTCATTTTTTTTTTTTGAAAGAAAATTCTGATGGGACGATGCGGAGGGGTCTTTTTTGCGCCTATGGGGCGCTTGGGGTATGTGGGACTTGACGATCTGCAAGGTGTTGGGAGCAGACCGCGGGCCCAAGGAATTTTAGGACCCATCCACTAAACGACTCCCCTGCACTCTTACACCCGACGTCCGATCTCCGTTCGGGAGGGTTTCTATCCTGTGTCCCACGACACCACACATCTTTTTTTTTTTTAGTAAGGATTCACCGGAAAATATATGTTGTTTACTTAATTGTCGCAAAATATTGTATGATCTTTGGGTGCGTTACGTTCATAGCATATTATTCTTTAGATTCCCAGCGGACGGTGTCGATTCCGAACCGATCCCAAAGCCGAAGGACGTGCCGCGTATAGAGGCGTACGACTTTGCGGTCGAGCCGAGCAACGCTCAGCAGCTCGAAGAATTGCTGGCGGACCCGGACGCGATGAGGATGCAGGCTCTCGTCATCAGAGAACGAATTCTCGGTGAGTTTTGATGGTCTAAGGTCGCCCTCTTGTTAGTACTGTTGTTGAGTACTCAATGGTGGGCTGCGTATTTGCTGTGTCCCTGGCATCACTGACGTCCATGAGCAATATACGTAAAATCATTTAATATATAGCATAATACATTACAGCATAATCAGCATAATACAATAAAATATTTTTTTCTTACACTATTTTTAATTCAAAGTTATTAAAAAAAAATTCTATTTTTTAGTTGGATTTTCTATAAAAGCGTATTTTTTTAGCTTTTCTAAACTATTATTATTTATCATTTTTTTTTCTTTAATACTGAATTGTCATCGGTGCTTAATAAGTATACCAAATTTTGAGTTAATCCGACGTTTTGAAGGGGTGTCAAAATCATGTTCAAAGATTCCGTTACATACTAACTAATACGTCTGAAGCTAATAAAAGCGTATTAATTTTACTGGTGGTAGGACCTCTTGTGAGTCCGCGCGGGTGGGTACCACCACCCTGCCTATTTTTGCCGTGAAGCAGTAATGCGTTTCGGTTTGAAGGGTGGGGCAGCCGTTGTAACTATACTTGAGATCTTAGAACTTATATCTCAAGGTGGGTGGCGCATTTACGTTGTAGACGTCTATGGGCTCCAGTAACCACTTAACACCAGGTGGGCTTTGAGCTCGTCTACCCATTTAAGCAATAAAAAAAAAGAAACGAAGCGATAATTCAGTTTCGGCGTTCAGGGCCCGCGCACCCGGACACGTCGTACTACGTGCGGTACCGCGGCGCCGTGTACGCGGACGCGGGCCGCTTCGCGCGCTGCCGCCAGCTGTGGCACCACGCGCTCGACATGCAGCGGGCCGTGCTGCCGCCGCTGTCGCCGCTCACGCAGTCCAGCCTCTACAGCTTCGCGGAGCTCTTCTCATACATGCTGGCTGAACGAGCCCGGCCTCCGCTCAGAGGTACTGTAAATCTGTACATCATTACGACTGGCTATCACATTTTTTTTTAATCTGTATAGACGGTAGTTAGATAGGGTCTGTTTGTAATATTGAAATAACCGCTTTTTACTACATCCATATGAATATATATACGGTACATACACCAAAATAACATTTCTTACAATTTTTGTCTGTCTGTTTGTTCCGGTTAATCTCTGGAACGGCTGGACCGATTTTGACGAGGATAACATCGCGTTACTCAGCTATCAATTATAAAATTTAATGTTTCCGAAGCGAAGCGAGGGCGGGTCGCTAGCTCTCCATAAGATCAGATCTGTATTCTCTTCAGGTCGCATCATCCCTCCTGTAACATTCGAGGACATAGACCCGGTCTTCAGGAAGGCGCTGTCCGAAATAAACAGGGGAATGGAATTGTTGGACTCGAAACTCAGCATCGATAGGGAACAGACGCTGACCACTCTTCAAAGGGTGCTGGTTATATGTTTGCACTTGGCCGCTCTGATGGCGAGACTGCTGGAAGAACCAGAATGCACCGACGATGTGTCTAGGAAGATACACAAAGCTGTTTATTCACTCGTTAAATTGGACATTAAGGTAATCATTTTGTATTCAACTTAAATTTTAAACAGGTATTCGTCCCATATAAACATGTTTTAACGCTAACTTTGAAGTGATCTTTTTCTCATATCATAAAATATTGGGAAAATAAAGAGTGCAGTAAAAACTCTTCAAGATGTCATCTATTCGTTGTGTGGTCTATTATTAATTACGCTTTGGTAATGTCGTTGCTATTAACTTAACTCTCAGACACAGCTCACTGAGTTTCTCGCCGGATCTTCTCAGTGGGTCGCGTTTCCGATCCGGTGGTAGATTCTGCGAAGCACTGCTCTTGCTATGGTTCGTGTTAGCATCGTCATCAGGTTTGAGCCCCGTGAGCTCACCTACTAACCACGGTTACGCTGCAATAGCCCCTAAGGCTATCAGCTTAGGTAGGAAAAAAAAGAGCTATTAACTGTTCAAATCTAACGCTAATTTGTCACAAGAAAACGAGATGAGCTATAATTGTGACGAAACAAAATCAGTACGTCTGTTGACACTCATCACCGCATCCCTAAATCAGTTTCAAAGCTATTTTCAGTATTGCAATAAGTACTAGTTATGATTGTTTATTTGTTACTTTTAAAACAGTTTACAAATCAATAGAATGGCATCAATTACAATATTTATTAGCACACGATTAGATTTCATGGTAGAACCATGTTATTTTTGAATAATCAGTGTAAGACCTAAATGAATTTCGTTGGAATATCAGACACATTTATTTATTTATGAATTATATATGAACGTAAAGCAAAAAAATTGTACCCTTTTTTACGAAAATTGCGCGAAAGGAGGAGTATGAAACTTTCCACACTTAAAGAGAATATAGAGAAGGAGTGCAGAATGTTAATATTTTTTTAAATTATGCATAAAATATTCATTGCACACTCTACCATGTATTTGACACAGTCACGCACGCATACTATTTGTTTATTGTCAAACTTTTCTTATTATATAAAGTCTGTGGTCAAATTAAAAATACATTAAATGTTTGTCTTTATTAATGCTTGTCTAAAGTGTAGTTAGTCTTGGCGAAATCTCCGATTATTTTTTTCTTCTTAGATGTGTGGACGAGCTCACAGCCCACCTGGTGTTAAGTGGTTACTGGAGCCCATAGACTTCTACAACGTAAATGCGCCACATACCTTGAGATATAGTTCTAAGGACTCAGTATAGTCACAACGGCTGCCCCACCCTTGAAACCGAAACGCATTACTGCTTCACGGCAGAAATAGGCGGGGCGGTGGTACCTACTCGTGCGGACTCACAAGAGGTCCTACCACCAGTATTATAGAAGTCTTTGACAATAGAATCATAATAGTGTACAAACTTATAATTTCAATTAATTATAGTCGAATTTCGAGTACTGCGGTACCACTACTTATTATTATAATACAATGATTCGTGTTCAGGTCCGTCAGGGCAGGTCGGCGCTGCACGTGGCGTGCTCGGCGGAGTCGTGTCGCGGCGGGGCGGCGCGCGGCGGGGCGGGTGGCGCGGGGGCTGCGGGCGGTGCGGCGGCGGGGGAGAGCGCGGCGTGCTGCGGCGCGCTGGTGGCGCTCATGCTGCGACTCGGCGCCGCGCCGGACGCCAGGGACGCTGACGGGAACACGCCTCTGCATCTCGTCTGCAAGGTACGTGCGTCACGACCTTTTGGGGATGCTTAAACGACGGAGGGAAGATCTTCCACCGAACGGGTGATATTGCTCGACCTACGGTCCAAATGTTGTTGTTCGGAACTTGTATATATGTGCTTTATCTTGAAAATGTCGTAAGCGAGATTCAGGCATCTGTCAACTATCTTGCGTTTTATGATGGCCACAACCTACCTACCTATCTATTGTTTTGAAGTAGTCGTGGCCTAAATGATAAGACGTTCGGTGCGTTCGTATATAGCGATGCACCGGTGTTCCAATCCCGCAGACGGGTACCAATTTTCCTAATGAAATACGTACTCAACAAATGTTCACGATTGACTTCCACGGTGAAGGAATAACATCGTGTAATAAAAATGAAACCCGCAAAATTATAATTTGCGTAATTACTGATGGTAGGACCTCTTGTGAGTCCGCGCGGGTAGGTACCACCACCCTGCCTATTTCTGCCGTGAAGCAATAATGCGTTTCGGTTTGAAGGATGGGGCAGCCGTTGTAACTATACTGAGACCTTAGAACTTATATCTCAAGGTGGGTGGCGCATTTACGTTGTAGATGTCTATGGGTCTCAGTAACCACTTAACACTAGGTGGGCTAGGTGAGCTCGTCCACCCATCTAAGCTATAAAAACCATGTACGTCCAATGTTTGTCGATAATGGAAGACTATCTCCACCATAGACACGGTTCATATTTCAATTTCATAGTAATAACAATATCGACCCGGAAACCGTGACTGCTTGTGGTAATTATTCGTAATGTAAAAAAAGGTTTAGCGAGCTTTGCAGGAAGTGATATGTGTTAAATGAATATTCCAGCTGAACCCTTGTCCTGCTGACGTGGTCCGCGAGCTCCTAAACCACGGCGCCCACATCGACACGGTCAACTACGAAGGCGAAACTCCCGAAGAGATCCTCAAATCCACGCAGCAGACCCTCACCAGCATCGTCAATCCGCTCCGGTACACCACCCTCAAGTGTCTGGCCGCTAGAACCGTCAAGAACTACAGACTACCCTACAGGCATGTCGTGCCCCAATGCTTACATTCGACGGTCATAACGCATTGAATTCAAGCGATAATAGTCTTTATTTCCCAGCAAATGGGTATGTGATTCGTATGAAGCAGTCTTTGATACGCCAAATGTGCAATAGATGTTTGAGTTACAGCACAAGTTATATACAGAAGGCCTGTCGCTGTTCAAATTAGTAATCTACGGTACCACAACGCTAGGGCTGCCATCTACCGTATTCTGTTTAAATTGTGATTATTTGAATTAAAATTCTCACAAAAGGAATAATTTATTTAGGAAATATTCGTCAGTTATAATGTAAACTGAATATATTTTTTAGAAAAAAAAATCGTCAACATGATATCAGCCTTCTGTGTTTTTCCGTGACGTCGAGCTACCTACGAACATAACGTATTGAATTCAAGCGATAATAGTCTTTACTTCCCAGTCAATAGATACGAGATTCGTATGATGCTGATAAAATAACACAAATGTCCAACATCAATGGGGACTGCTGAGTCCGCCGAAAAAGCATATACTTAAATGTCACGAACGCCTTAATGCATTCACTTCAAGCGACAATAGTCTTTATGTCGCAGACATATAATACAAACTACTATCCAACCATAAGCCCTTATAAACTTTCGACGGTGTTATCGCCTTCGAGCGATAATAATCTTTATATTCATTGATTCTGGTGCGATAAACCGAATCTGCAATAGATATGATAACTAACCGCTATCCGCACACCCCTATAAGCCTAAAACTTTCGACGGTTATGACACAAATAGTTGAAGCGAATATAGTCTTTATGTAACAGTTTTAGGGTGTGTGATTCGCATGGTGCAGTCCTTAGTACACCGAATGTGCAAATGATAAGTGATTGAAAGGGCGGTATTAAAGGCATCCCAATTGGTTGAGTTTTTCATTTTGTTTGAATAATATAATCGGCCATTTTGCATTTTTTTCTGTTTAGCTGTCTTTAGATTGTATCGGATTTCGCTGTCAATAATTTGTGGGGTAGTCATTAACATGTCAGTTTTGTAGAAGAGCTCGCCATTATTTTTATTTTATTTTTTAAATAAAATACGCCCATATGTTATGTGAAAATCATTGCTTGATATAGATATACAAATGTTTGTCGATTAGTTTCCTGGCATTTTACGTACATACATACGGAGTCATCAGTGTATTTTTTAGGTTAATTTTGAGGCTAATTTGCTTTTTTTTTTTCACCACCGGGGATTGTTTAATAGTAGAATGTTAAAATTATCTTTTTTAAACAATTATATTATCATGTTCACGTTTTATTTTGATTGTATTATCGTATGTACAGTAAATGATATATTTATGTATAGATTAATTTGCACTTGTAGTATTAATAATTATATGAATATACTATACATATATTTTTCCATTTCTATAAAAAATGTCGATAATAGCACTTAAAGTTGCTTTTGAAATTATTTTTCGAATTATTCTTATATTTTAAAATATTCTATGTATAATGTGGATTTTTGAAAACGATATAGTATCGATAAAATCGATTTTCTTCTATATAATAACCGATTACTATAAACAAAATGTCGTTCAAATAAATCATTATAATATGATTCCTCTAATTATGACTTAAGTACTCATGTACACACGACTAAACTGTTTTTTGTAACTACATTGTCACAATTTAAATTTAGACTCAAGGAAGCTCAATTAGGAACATGAGCTCAGCTACATCGTATTTTGTGATATATAAAAAAATTAAATGTAAATAATGTTGCTAGCTAATAATACCATACTGCCAATTTGCAAATCAGCTGTCAGGGGTACAGAGCTAACGTCCTGTTCTGTCAATGTCATGTCAGAGCAACTGTCAAAAATGTATCCAAACTGTCTAGGATAGAAATACGCAAACGTCGAACACGCAGACAGCCATTTTAACTAGTAATAATTTGGATTAATTTAGTCGTATGACGTTTCTGTGTCCGCAATCGCTGTCGTAGATTTAGTGCAGAGAACGAATCAATGCTTTTTGCGTTGGTGTGAGTGATTGTCGATGCGCCTATCTGTTAACTTTGTGAGGAATTGCTTTGTTGTCAGATTCGATATGAACTGGTGTGTCTGCAACTATAGTTTAGGTGATTTACATCAGTGAGCTTAGTGCGAGTTTTTTGACGTTTTCGATAGCGTAAAAGTTACTTAAATTTGGAATAACGCCCCTAGCGGCAAACATAGGCAAAGGTTGCAACTCCATACGTATTTGATTTAACTTTTACGCTATCGAGAACGTTAGAAAACTCGCACTAAGCACTCAATAATTTATTCTAAACGACAACAAATTAGGATTTGATTATCTTGATGTTTGTGATTTCGATGGCGAACAGTCACAGTGTGCACTCACCCTAAAGCGAAACGCAAGATTCGTACTAGAAGAAGTGATACTCGCTTTTATTGTCGTATTCCTATTTAGGTTATTTAACCGATAACCCGACTAAAGCAAACGCGTTCCGTCAGTCCCCTCTAGTCTTAGAAACAGGTGTGGATGCTTGTTAACTTTTTAGTTTTTTTTTTTATAAACACGATTTTGTGATGTATTTTCTTTTTATTAGCTTCGATTAAAACGCTTAAGTACTGCAATATTGGGTTAAACATATTTTTGTGGACACGTAATTTCCGTCTTTAGATATCTATATTATTATGTTTCATCTTTTTGCCGGTAGATTTCTTCTGACGTGTGTCGGTTTCGATGTTAAAGAATGATGACGTCCTTAGTTTGCTAACCATAAGCCAAGCTGGCAACATTCTGTCATATTCCCCACTTTTCACTATAATTACAAAAAAAATGGTTATTCGTAACTTAGCCATGAAATATATCGCACATACGGTACTATAACTTCGCTTATGCAAATTATGTAATTTTTCAGGAGAAGCGTTGGAAAATTTAACATCTTAATACAACTATATAGTTCTTCTCGACTAAAGAAATAAAATGATAATATTTAAACTACAACTTTACACGTTATTATTAAAAGCAAACATCCCACAAATTACTATTAAAAAATGGATTTTCTCAAACTCAGTTCAGTTTTAACAAGAATCTCATAAGTGACCTTATAGCACCGTATGTGCGATATATGAATAAGGATTCGGCTTTTTTCCTCAAGTCGAAAAATGCCGCTTAATACCCGAACTCAAATGGATATTCAATGTCCAACAAAACATTTTCCTCCAGCATCGCCCAAATCTAACTACAGCGTTTATTATATTGTGATTGAAGTCAAATAATTAATCTATGTTATTTTTTTAAAATGTAATTAATAAACTAATCAGCGATCTTTTTGAAAGTTTATATTCTTTGTCTGACTTAAAGGTCTAAGTTACCAGGTCATAAAATCCCTTTAAAAAAATTATATTCTTTATCCACTACGTATTTAATCGGGGTCGTGCTTTTCGTATCCATTACGATAAAACCCAACCGTTGCCAACGTGTACTTGCTGCGTAATATAAAAACGCCTGATACGTAGTCTCCTTACTAATAAACCGAACCTTTTGTACCACGATACTGTAATGTAGCTTGTAACGTTGTTTGTTTGAAGTTGGCCAAGTATTTACTGCGTATGACAAACAAATTAGATACTTAAACGTTTAGAATTATTAAATAATGATACTTAGATACTATTATTGTGTTTTAGTCGATTTGGGGTTTTATTAATAAATAGAAAGAAATATATTGAACTGATTAATGATTTTATAATTATCATTTCTTATGTGGGCTAATGTTTTGCCATCTGTTATAGTTTTATTGTGTGTATTTTCTCATAGAATAATTTTTAGTATTAATTTGCGTGTTTACATGCTATTTTTTTGAAATCAATAAAAACGCTTTGAAAGTATTTGTTTTGTTTTTCTGGAGAACAGTGTTTTATGTTTTATAGGTTGTAGGAAATTCGTTTCTCAAATGACAAAGAAACGCCAACTGTTATTAATTACTATTATTAGACTTTATATGGGAGGAATCCAGCTTTCGGTCGGAAATTTGTAAATGTAAGTATCAAATTAATAAGCTGACACGTCACGGACGCGCAATGTATCTCGTGCGAAATTCGGAGGTCAATGAACCTTATTATCCTCTCCCGATTTGCCTGTGATATAGGATATAGAGAAATAAAGGTGATTAAGTAAAACAAGAATATTGCGTGATAAACACACATATATTGTAATGTATACATTAATACATCAATAGATACCTACATTTTAAATTTTTTCTAGAAGCAGACCGTTATATTACTAGAAAGTTACATAAAATAAGAATGTAGGCTGTGTATTGTTATATAAAGAAACCGATCATTTTTCGTATTGAGACTCTTATAAGAGTCGCGATCGCAATTTCAACCTCTGAACAAGGCTTTTAGTTCGGCCGGGGCATTCATCAAAATGGCAGACAAGTTATTTGAACCCGTATCGGGGAACATAGTCCAGACAATGTTTAGCTTAGCGTTATTTCTCTGCAAAACCGACGCCATACGTTCGCCTTTCTCGTTCTTAATCTTACCGGCTTTAATCACGAGTTCCAATGGTAGTTTTTTCATTTGATATTTCTTTAAAGCGCAAACGAGAGGATAAACCCCGAATATTTTAAGGAAGTGCTCAGCGCCGCTGACCGCCGATAAGTATAAACGGCATTTTAATTCGACCGCGTTGTCCCACTCCAGGCCGATGGCGTGAGCTTCGCTTGAAAATATCTGGGGGAAGCGCCGACGGTTCTGGAAGGCGAACGCAGCTGTTAATCCCGTCAAACGATTTATTGTGAAATCGCTTGGCTTGAGCGCCACGTTCGGGCCGGTTTTTTTAATCATTAACGGCAACCTGAAAATTTAGATAAAATATGTATTTATTACTAGCTGACCCGGCAGACTTCGTAGTGCCTCAATCGATAAATAAAAGACCTAAACTTTTGTATAAAATAAACTTTAAACAAACAAAAGGAATCCGTTCGACGGGGCACACATTAAAGGGAAAACAAAATTGTTATTTTTATTTAATTCCAAGCATTTTTATATTTATGTACCTTTTAAACCTTCTCTGGACTTCCACAAATAATTCAAGACCAAAATTAGCCAAATCGGTCCAGCCCTTCGCGAGTTTTAGCGAGACTAACGAACAGCAATTAATTTTTATATATATAGATAGATAGATAGATGTTGAGTCTCTATTTCGGGCAAGGATTAATAATCCTGTTCAGTTAAGTGACTAACGTATATTGGGAATTGGGATTACAACCTAACGTGCTATCGATAGCCCGACAATCCCGAGACTGACGTAGCATCATTGCAATATAATCACCGCTAACACATACATGACATATAATTGTTAGTTGCTATGGGGTCATTGCACACAATTGTAGGGACCACAAATGTACAATTACCTATAACTAGTGGACCCGCAGTAGACGAAATTCGACTATAATTTATTGGATAATTAATTATAGTCGAATTTCGTCTTTTGGATTAATTGGAGTTGTATGTTTAAACATTTTTATAGTTCTATTGTCAAACATAGTAGTATGCTTCTATAATATAATCACAGATTTCGACAAAACTACATATAGTTAAACTACATTAAAGACAATCAATTTGACCACAGACTTCAATTATTAACAATAGTTTGACAATTGACCCTCAATTGACAATATACAAAGAATATATTTATATCATGTGTTGTGTCAAATACATGGTAGTGTGTGTAATGTTTTTGTTTATTGATTTAACGTATTTTTTATGCATAATTTAAAAAAAAATATTAGCATTTTGCACTCCTTCTCTATATGTGTGGGTTCCTCCTCCGTCCGCGCAATTTTCTTAAAAAGGGGTACAAAGTTTTGGCTTCACGTATTAATATATACATAATACAGAAACGAATTACATAGTATTTTCTTTTCTTTACTGTCTGATGATAAGAACTAACAGTCTAACACATGAAAAATATATACGTTATATGTTTAATGGGCCGTGCTATGAAATTTGTGAAACTTGAAGTTAAAGTTGTGGGTGTCCTCCGCCTGCTCAATTTTTTTTTTATTGCTTAGATGGGTGGACGAGCTCATAGTCCACCTGATGTTAAGTAGTTATGTAGCCCATAGACATCTACGACGTAAATGTGCCCACCCACCTTGAGATATAAGTTGTAAGGTCTCAAGTATAGTTACAACGGCTGCCCCACCCTTCAAACCGAAACGCATTACTGCTTCACGGTAGAAATATGCAGGATGCTGGTACCTACCCGTGCGGACTCACAAGAGGTTCCAATCCACGTAAAAAAAAAAAAATTTATGAGCTGTTTAACTTACTCTGGAATGATGTACATATCTTGTACTTTGATGCACTGCCCCGGCTTGACTTCCTTCAATCGTTGCCTCAAATCGTAGGCCTTGGCCAATATTATAGCAACATTTTCTTTTTCCTTCAGGAAATCAGCGTATTTGTAAACTTCATAGAACACTGACCCGTTAAATACAGCTTCGGTGACATGTTTTTTATCATTCGAAAATTTGAATGTCTCCATTTTTGTCCGGCTGAAAATGATTTTTGTTTATAATGTAAAAAGTTTTTTATTTTATTTTATTGCTTTTGTAGGCACCTGATGGTGAGTGGTTATCGTCGCCCATGGACTTCAACAATGCCAGGGGCAGAGCCAAGCCACTGCCTACCGTTATATGCGTACTACCCACCCACCTGGTGTTAAATGGTTACTGGAGCCCATAGACATCTACGACGTAAATGCGCCACCCACCCAGAGATATAAGTACTAAGGTGTCAAGTATAGTTACAACGGCTACCCCACCCTTCAAACCGAAACGCATTACTGCTTCACGGCAGAAATAGGCAGGGTGGTGGTACCCACCCGCGCTGACTCACAAGAGGTCCTACCATCAGTAAAACACGTGTACGTGTATGTAAATTATTGATACGCCGGCAAACACTCAAGTCAGTCGCGCTTTTTTAATTTTGTGTGAATTAGAGAGACACGAGTCAAGCTTTAAACATGAAAGTAAGCTAATAAAACTTTTTTTTTTCCTACCTATGCTGATAGCCTTGAGAGGCTATTTCAGCTTCACCCTAACGTGTAGGTGACCTCACGGGGCTCAAACCGGAGTGTTGCTAACACTGACCCTAGCAAGAGCAGTGCTTCGCAGAATCTACCACCGGATCGGAAACGCGACCCACTGAGAAGATCCGGCGAGAAACTCAGTGGGCTGTGTCTATGGGTTAATTCGCTCGTCGAGCCCTTCGTCGCAAGCGACGGGTTCGACGAGGACGGTGACCGGTTAAAACAATGGTCTTTGTTGGTTGGTTACTGCCTATTTCTGTCGTGAAGCAGTAAAGCGTTTCGGTTTGAAAGGTGGGGCAACCGTTGTATTGTAAAAACAGACTGTGGCGGGTAGCCATCATACAACGCAAGATAATTGACAGATGCCTGAATCTCGCTTACGAAATTTTCAAGATAAAAGCGCATATATACAAGTTCCGAACAACAACATTTGGACCGTCGGTCTACCGAGCAATATCACCCACTCGGTGGAAGATCTTCCCTTTGTCTTATATACCTACAAACTGGTGACCCCGACGTGATGTGAACAACGTAACCTTCTGATTCATCATCAGCGCATCAAGAACTTCGGCTACCACAATCCCGCATTCTCGCAGATAAAAACAAGTCATCGACAGTCGTCCCACAGCAAGCCAGCATCGCAGCCTCAACAGGACCATCGCAGCCGACTCACCGCGCTTCCTGGTCCTACGGCACGCACCTACACTGCCTCATCACGCAGCATTCAAGCTCAGTCTCGACTCACCGCAGACTTCGAGCAGCACTGGCGACAATCACGCAGCATTCAAGCTCAGTTTCGACTCACCGCAAACTTCGAGCAGCACTGGCACTTGCAAGCTTATCTCAGCACGGACAACGCTAACTAAATGACACGACCTCCAGTCTCGGAGGGGAGTGATGTGGCGGGTAGCCATCATACAACGCAAGATAATTGACAGATGCCTGAATCTCGCTTACGAAATTTTCAAGATAAAAGCGCATATATACAAGTTCCGAACAACAACATTCGGACCGTCGGTCTACCGAGCAATATCACCCGCTCGGTGGAAGATCTTCCCTTTGTCTTATATACCTACACAGACCTTATAACTCATCATAATATTACTTTCGAATTAGTATCTCCCATTGCTGTTTGATAAAAGTTGGTAATTCCTCACAATGGAATGACTATGGATTAGTGAAGAATTTTAACGTCACGTCAATCGCTATGTCAATAAAGGCACTCACTCTTATTTCAATTTTATTTCCAATTTATTTTATTCAATTTTCTTTAATATTTATTTTCTTTGTGTTTATGTTTGTAAAACAATATTGGAAATCGAAGCTCAATGAACAAGCTATTAAAAACTTGAATTTAAAACAAAAACAAAGCTTGCTTTAACCAAATGAATGCGTCATGCTTTTAATCGAGTCCTCTATACAAAAGTATTACTTAGTGTTTATGTTGTTATCGGTGTAAACACAGTTAGTAGTGGAGCGATACCAGACGTTAACATAAATACGAGTAGTTAAATTATACAATTTAGCATTGCGACAATAACTTGACGATCTTTAAGTAGTCAAAAGAGAAGCTGAAGTTTCGGGACACGATTTTTATAATTCCGTAATAAAGACTCAACATGACAAAGCAATGGTTCACCGGATGAAAAAAAATGCAATTAAAATACGGTACAAAGTATAATAATAATACATGCGTATTTAGATTAACACAACATAAAAACGAACCTCTGTAGACTGTTGAACACACCAAATAAATATATTTAATTGTCTTCACTATAACAGGACACGTCTGCTAAGTCGACATGCGAGTCGTCGAATTGTGCATCACAATTATTCACAATATTATTGTCATGATCGTTCCATCCTTTTCTGTTTGACGTTTCAAATTGGAGTCACTTCGTCCGAACACCGAGCGCCTCGGGTTCACATCATTACTACATAAGCACAGACCATTTAAACATATGTACTCTTACCGCGAAACCAGTAGGTAATTCCCCGAAGTAGTGTTGCTTGAAATTCGATAGTCAATCGATTAATCGATAGCATTTCAACTATCGAAACTATCGATTGTCTGAGAATGGTATCGATATATCGTTGTTTTTTTGTTTTTATCGTCGTTAGAATTTTTATACGTTGTAGAATACCTCCACGTCACTGTTTTTTTTTTATATTGAATGCACCTAAACCGTAGAACGTATTGATATCTCTACTGAGGGAAATCCCAGCGACCCATTGAAAATAGTAAGGTTGGTGTTGCCTGCGGCGATGATTTTCTTTTTTTGCCTAATCAGGTACGGCGTACAGCACCAGTCGTTTAATCAATAATTGATGTTCGTCAATATTTAGAAAAGCCCACGATTGATAACCATGCTTGTCCTTTAAAATATTGGGAAAAATCGAGAAATGTGTTGTGAATGATGCCAAAAAAAAAATTGGGCTGTCCTTCATAACGAATATTTTCCAAAGCTGGGCTCATTATGAATGAAAAAAGAAATCGGCTGAAGGAAAATAATCTGAATACATAAATTTTTTTCAATCAAAATTTAAATATGTTTTAAATTTTATTCATTAAATGTGTACTGTTCAATAGTTAGTACAAAAGTATACAAAATTGAGTTTCATTTTATACCTTTAGAAGTCTCGAAAACTATCGATTCAATATCGATAGTATCGATTGTTTTTAAAAAACGATCGATACTATCGGAATCTCCGACAATCGATATTTAAGCAAAACTACCCCGAATAATAATAATAATAATAATAAACCTACTCACGTAACGTTAAAAGAAGCGTATTGTTCATTATTTTGTGATTGTGTGTTCGAAAAAAATAAGTAATTTGTTATTTATTTATTATTTACATTTCATTCATTTATTATTTGGTTATTTATTTATTTAGATAATAAATAACTGTACGAACTTTCTAACTAGAGGACTTCGCTTGACTGACAGAATTTAACATAGAAATATGCATATCGAGAGTATTGCAATTTACTATGGAAAGAAATTTTATACAGCTAAAATTAAAAATTATTATTTTAGATAATTAATATAAAAAAAATTATAACCGTATTGCTGGCAACCTCAGATAGATATTTTCGAGGAATACATTTATAATATACAATGTAAGATTTTCTTTGATGGATCGAGTCAGAAATGATGAAATCCGTCGAAGAACCAAAGTAACCGACATAGCCCTAAAGATTAGCAAGCTGAAATGGTAATGGGCCGGACATACGTGTCGCAGAACCGATGGCCGATGGAGCAGACTCGTTCTGGACTGGAGACCAGGTACCGGTATGAGCAGCGTTGGGCGTCCCCCTGCCCGGTGGACCGATGACTTGCGGCGATATGCTGGGAGAGATTAGATGCGGAAGTACATCCAGCAGTGGAGAGATACAGGCTGATGATGAAGATAAATGTAAGAATATTGCTGTGTTTTTAAAATCATTAAATTCAATCGCGTGTCATCTGTCTTAATGTGTGTTTTTATAAAATTTTAAAAGTAAATTTGAAATACACATGGTACAAAATTACTATGGAGATAGAATGTTAAAAAAACGAGTTCCATACTTACTCAATAGTTTACCCGAGGACATAAGACGTGAGCCTACACTTGCTAAATTTAAAAGGTTTATTAATAAAACACTTGTTAAATACGTTGTAACCATTTACGTAAATTAATTGTATTAATATAACCTAATTAAATAATTTTTTTTCTTTTATTTTTTATTGCTTAGATTGGTTGCCGAGCTCACAGCCCACCTGGTGTTAAGTGGTTACTGGAGCCCATAGACATCTACAACGTAGACGCGCCACCCACCTTGAGATACAAGTTCTAAGGTCTCAGTATAGTTACAACGGCTGCCCCACCCTTCAAACCGAAACGCATTACTGCTTCACGGCAGAAATAGGCAGGGTGGTGGTACCTACCCGCGCGGACTCACAAGTGGTCCTACCNAGCTCACAGCCCACCTGGTGTTAAGTGGTTACTGGAGCCCATAGACATCTACAACGTAGACGCGCCACCCACCTTGAGATACAAGTTCTAAGGTCTCAGTATAGTTACAACGGCTGCCCCACCCTTCAAACCGAAACGCATTACTGCTTCACGGCAGAAATAGGCAGGGTGGTGGTACCTACCCGCGCGGACTCACAAGTGGTCCTACCACCTAAGCTATGTTTATATAAAGCGAGTTACCAGCAACCAAACTGCGTAAGCAGTTTTGCGGGGCATGGTTTAATGAAAGTGTAACTTTGTATGAATAAATATATTACACACATACATACATAATTTAAAAGTTGTGTGAACCGGAACGTCTTTCGAAATTTAGCACTTGTAACACTGAATTTTAAAATGACATTTATGTGTATTATCTATGATGACATCCACGCTGGCTATGGAATGGGACTCCCGTGCTTGTTTAGTTTCTTGTTTCTCAAATGTACTTAGCTTACATGCAGTACAAAGGTGAAAATAATGAAAGGTTCATTCTTCAAGCAACATCTACTAACAGAGCAGATTGCACGTACGAAGTTATGTTTTTTTTGTAAGCCGCGATATTAAGCTGTAAATATAGTTTGATTTATATCTATGACCCGCGGAAAGCGCAGAAAATACTTATCGTTACTAAAAGATGTGATGTTCCATAACAGCTATTGTGTGTCATAATTATTGTGCTGTTAATATTAATTGGGTGTATTAAATATATGTATCTACAATAAAATTTGTTCATGAACAATCTATTATTGTATATGGTAATCTCAAAGGTTTTTTTGTATTGAATGCGTATTTTCGGACTTTGCGCTTAACATATAGGTCTAATGACTGAGATGACTGAATTTAAAAAATATATTTTTATTAAATATTTTTCAAAAACAAATCGTTTGAATTTATAATTTATTGCCAGCCACACATAAATTACGTTTCAAATGGCCAGTATTGGAAAACGTCAACATCATAGTTAAATACCTAATCTACGCTATTCCCAAAAGCATAGGTAAAAACCGAAACATAGTCAATGGCGGATCCAGGGGGAGGGTCATGGGGGTCATGACCACCCCCTAAGCTGGGTCCAGGACTTAGGTGGACCACTAATTGATTATAATGATTTTATTTATATATTTTGTCACGATACAGATTTTATGTAACTACATACCTTCAATATTTAATTAATTTAATATAATATAATAACTTTGTATAATGGCAAACGTTTGGGAACGAACGCATCTAAATTTGACTATGTGACCCCCCCCTGGCGACAAAGCTGGATCCGCCCTTGAACATAGTGGAACCCATAAAAATGTATGAGACGTCAGGAGATGCGCAGCTAACAAGAAACGCGCAGGGCGGCGCTAGTTATTCCGCACCAGTAATTGTGACAAACGGCTTATTCTCTCATATTTACTAAATTGTTTCGCTTTGCCGCTTACACGGCTAACACGCGCCGGAGATGTCGAACTTATAGAATCGGCTGTTGACTTAACATCTCCCCGGTGATCTATATATTAATACGTGTCTATGCGCACAAAAACTACCAAAAAAAAAAAAAAAAAAGAAATCGGTCAACGAGCACTACTGCAACCGTATCGACACTTCTCTCGCAGCAACCTTACGCACAACACCTGTGTACCTGTATATTGTCACGGCCGTTATTTCAAATATAATTTGGAAGGAAAAATAAAACATTCATTTCGTTTGTACACCACTGCTTGCCTCCTCTTCCTCGCCAACAATACGCAAAGGAAAAACTTTGTATCCCTTTTTACAAAAATTGCGCGAACGGAGGAGTATGAAATTTCCCACACTTATAGAGAAAATAGAGAAGGAGTGCAGAATGTTTAATATTTTTTTAAATTATGCCTAAAAAAGACATTAAATCAATAAAAAAAAAACATTACACACACTACCGCATATTTGACGCACACACGTATGCATACTATTTATTTATTGTCAAACTTTTGTTCTTGACATCTGTGGTCGAATTGAGATTAAATTGAATATTGTTTGTCTTTATTAAAAATTTTCTATAGTGTAGTCTTGTGATTATATTATATAATAGAAGTATAATAAATAGTCTTTAAAAATAGAATCATAATAGTGTACAAACTTACAATTTCATTTAATTATAGTCGAATTTCAACTACTGCGGGACTACTCGTAATACTAATGTCGCTTTACCGAATGTTACGTTAGGTACTATATTACTAGTATTACAAGCCATTTAAATCTGCCCTCCTCATAGACAACGCCTTCCAAAATGGCGGTTTCGAGAAACCTGTTTCTACCGTGAAGCAGTAATGTGTTTCGGATTGAAGAGTAGGGTAGCCATTGTAACTATACTGAGACCTTAGAACTGTTATCTCAAGGTGGGTGGCGCATTTACATCATGGATGCCTATGGGCTCCAGTAATCATTTAATACCATTTACTGGTGGTAGGACCTCTTGTGAGTCCGCACGGGTAGGTACCACCACCCCACCTATTTCTGCCGTGAAGCAGTAATGTGTTTCGGTTTGAAGGGTGGGGTAGCCATTGTAACTATACTGAGACCTTAGAACTTATATCTCAAGGTGGGTGGCACATTTACGTCATAGATGTCTATGGGCTCCAGTAATCATTAACATCAGGTCAGCTGTGAGCTCGTCCACCCATCTAAACAATAAAAAAAACCGCGGCAAACATACATATTTTTAAATATCATAGATAAACGTCACAGGGAGGTGTTGCGTAATAACATCTAGGTACAAAAGTAGGATTGTTCGTGAAGACTAAAAAAAAAATGTTTCTTAGTTTATGCTTATTATTGCCGCAAAGCAGTCACGCTTTTTGAAAGCTACACAATACAATTCAGAC